TCAACCAAGCACCTTGTGAATATCTCCAGGCTCCAATAACTGAGACATCCAACATAACTGTATGAGACAATGCTCTTGACACCTCCACTGATCACACTTTATTAACTCTAGAGTACAACTCATGACAGAAATGGGTGGCTTCACAACCCTGTGAAGCAAGTTGTCTGAGAATCTGTGACTGGCTCAAAATCACTCAGTGAGCTTCATGGCCAAGTAGGGCTAGAACCTGGATCTCCTTGGGTCCCAGTCCACCTGTGACTACCATCCCATGCTGGCCGGCTTACACTTGATCTTTTCTACTTCCCTCATTGATGCCCTTCCAAGTTGCAGTGTTCTTCAGATTTCTTGGAGCCAGTCCTTGCTTGAATCAATGATTGAAACAATGTATGGGAAATCTTTCATTGTTGTCATTAATGTTGTGTCATTCTTCTATAGTGATGAATTTTGTTCAGTTGCATTCTTGCTTTTGCACTTTCTTCTTTCATTTTAATCACATCTTCTTTGAGTTAATTGCTGCTTTCTGCTACTAATATGTTATCATCTACATATCTTAAATTGTTGGTGTATCTTAAGGTAAAGGTAAAGGTTTCCCCTTGACATTAAGTCCAGTCATGCCTGACTCTAGGGGACAGTGCTCATCTCCTTTTCCTAGCCGAGGGAGCCAGCATTTGTCCGCAGTCTCTGTGGTCATGTGCCGGCATGACTAAACACCGAAGTGCACGGAACGCTGTTACCTGCCCACCAAAGTGGTACCTTTTTATCTACTTGCATTTGCATGCTTTCGTGCTGCAAGGCTGGCAGGAGCTGGGACGGAACAATGGGAACTCACCCCATTGTGCAGATTCGAACCGGCGACCTTTCGATCAACCAGCCCAGCAGCACAGCAGTTTAAACCACTGCGCCACCTGCAGTCCCTGGTGTATCTTACATACAGACTAATTAGATAGGAAAGTAAAGTATACCCTTCTCTGACATATTTGCCTAGAGGAAGTCATTCTGCATATTCTACACTAACAGTGGATTCTTAATAAAAGTGCTTAATTAGAAAACTTTCATAATAGTAGTCCTAGACTTTGAGCCTAATTGATAGGACACTATTACAATATGAAATAATTTATTATTAAGATCATGAAATCCTGTAAAATTTTGATAAGGAAACATAAGAGTCCTATATATTTTATAATTTGATGTTATGCGTTCTTGGAAATTCTGTTTATAGTACATATCAAAAATAGTTGTGGAGGTTGCTGATTCTTGTTAGTACAAAATTGAATAGAAGCCACCCAGAACAATTTTTGTATACTCTTTGTTTGAAGTGTATTAATCCACTGTAGGTTGTTAACTGGTAGCTAACAACTTCCCTGAATACAGTAATTTGGCAGAGTCAAAATTTCTAACAGAGAAAACAAAATATTCCTTTGCTTCCATTACAACCACAGAGAAGCCCTGATAAACTATTTGTTAATTTTAGGTGACTCTGGTAGTGGGAAGACTGCTATGATTGAGAACATGCTTGAAAACATTCAGAAACAAGGAGGGTTACATATAAAAATGGGAACAATTTTAGGAGAGGTATTACATTATAGTGAAGCATCAAAAGCAAGGTAGGAAATGTGATTTTTTTTAAAAAAAATTATATTACCTGTCACTGCAATTAGGAATAATATTATCAATTCAAACGCTGATGTGCAGCACTAACATCTTGTCATCTGCATTACATTTAGATGTTCTTACTCCATGTTTGATCCAGTCTATTGATGTTTATGAACATATGTTTCTCTTTTTCATCAGACCCTCCAAAAATATCAGAACTAAGCTGAAAAGACAAGAAATCTCCCCCCTCACCCCACAGCTATTTTAGACTATAAAAAGGGTTTAAAATATTTTAAAAGAGAAATTCAAATGCAAGCTAGAATAGGGCATCTCTTTAGAACTCAGTTCAACAGTTTTAGGAAGAGTGGTGGCAGTGCTACTACTATTTCTGCCTGACGTCCTGCAAAGGATGGGCCTCAGCTTTGGAAATAATAACTACAGTTATTATTTTGTTTGTTGCTTTTGTTTATTTGCTTGTTTGATTAGAATACTTGGAGTAAATTTATTTTTAAGAACTTTAAATCGTTATGAGGGTAAATAACCATACAAGTTATTCATTTTCATTTTTAACAATTTCAATGTTTTATAAATGTATATTCTCATATCTAGTGGTTCATGTGATAATTTATATGATGCCGATTATCTGTATTGGTGAACTTTCAGCTATAGCAATATATAAATAGCAAGTATAGATTTACAAAAAGTATCAGAAACAATCTGACGATCTGTCAATCTGCTTTTATTCTGGAACATCACTGATTCTTTTTTTTTTAAACCTGTATTTGTGTTGTGTGTGTGTGTTCTCTTCTTCCTAGCTTCTTGAAGAATTCCAGTTACTTCAAGTCTGATGTACTTCATTCTGCTTGGAAATCATCACAGACTTCAACTAAAGACATGTGTATGTTATTATTGATTTTCTATTGTTAACCTGATTTTAAATTCATGATGCTGCTTTATGTAATATATATTTATACCACCTTTCAATAAGATTTTCCAGGGCTCTTACACAAAACATATACAAAGAAGTAAAATGCAAATAAAACTAATTTAAATAATCATGAAAGTACAGGGCAGCCAAGAGATAGAGAGAGAAAAAAAAATCAGCAGGAGGACCATATTATGTCTAAAATGCTGGGAAAACAGAAAAATGTTGAAAAGATGACAAAATATATTCATATTTTTATTTGACACACAAGTGTGGGGAAGGGAAGTGAAGGGAAGGGAAGGGAAGGGAGTGGAGAGCAAGGCCAGAATAAGGTGGTGAGCTGGAAGTGGACATTGATTTGTGTGCATGGGATACCTGAATTCTATTAATATTAATGCAAGCTTCCAAAATCTTATCTTCCTTTTTCCTACCAGTTCATCTCTTTGTTGATTTCCCACTTACTCTAACAAATCACAAAAGTCATGACAACCTATACAAAGATATCGTCTAGCTTTTTAGAAGAAGAAAAGTGATACAGTTTTGCTAATTCTCTAATATTGCAAGCAGGAAGTCTTCAGCTAAGATAAACTTTGAATATTTTATTTACTAAGTGGAAGCATTCACATACAGTGGTGCTTCAGCTTACGAATGCCTTGGTTAACAACCAAATCAGGTCACGAAGAAAAATTTCATGAAAATTTTGACTTGGGTCCTGAACTCCGCATTGTGTGGCAACCAAGTGGGGAGATGGCCACGATTGCAGTTGCATTCATGCAGGGAAGACATGCATGATCAGGGGCACGCTCCTGCAGGAAAGACGGGTGCAATCTCGGCCATCCCCCGCAGCCAGCACGATTGTGGCCATCTCCCCACCCCACCCTCCAAGTGGGAAGATGGCCACAATCACAGTTGCGTTCATGCAGGGAAGACTTAGAGCAGCTGACGACAGAAGAACTTGCTGAACTCCAGAGCAAGCAGCAGAAGGCACTTGCTGAGGAGGATTCCACTGAGGAAGAGGAAGACAGGGAGGAGGTTAGCAGTGATGTAATAAAATCCATTCTGAAAAAATGGAATGAGTGCCAGGATTTCTTTGAGAAGCACCATCCCAACATAACTGTAATGAACAGAGTGTTGAATCTGATGAACGATAATGTGGTGTCTCATTTCCGGAGGGTTATGCAGCACAGGAAAAAACAAGTGGCTATAGGCAGATTTTTCACCAAAATTGACCCTGCAGCTAAGAGACAAAGAAGAGAGGCAAACCCTGAAAGAGATCTCCCCAGTGTCCTTATGGAGGGGGACTCTCCCTCAAAACAATAACCTCCCCCACACCTAGGTTAGTGTTTACCACTGTACTGTACAGTACTTTGTTACTTTGTTGTTCTTTGTCACTTTATTTCAATTTTTTCTGATTAAAAAAAAGAATAGTTACAAAATGGATTAACCTTATTGATATTGAACCTTATGGGGAAATGTGACTTGGCTTGCAACCAAAAATTGGCTCACAACCACATTCAGAGGGGCCAGAACAGATTAACCTAATTTACATTGAATCTTATGGGGAAATTTGACTTGGGTCACAACCAGAGTCGTGGAACGGATTAAGTTCATGAGCCAATACCACTGTATTTCATAAGCACCAACACACAAAGACCCTTGACTTAGAAGTTAATGTTCCTAGATTTATCAAGCCTGCATCTAGGGATGTACACTTTTTGTTAACTCTGTTCAACCTGTGCATAAACTTCAACAAAGGCATTACAAATATCCATATATTTATAAAATGTAAAAGAAAAAACACTGGTCCACAAGTTGATGGAAATCTGTGCAAGTCAAAAAAGCTGGTCTGCTCTGACCTCCACAAGGTGGGTTCATAGAAATCCAAACTCATTTGAATGCATCAAGGGTTTCTCCAATATTCCTATGCTGTACCAGCTCTAGAATTGCCACCTTTTAATAAGACCTGCTCCTGTTATATAATAATTAGCCAAATTTCCTGACTGTGGCTTAGCCACCTGTTCCTCTCTCAGCCATGTCCAGCACCTTCATTCAGCAACTTCTTATACTGCCACTATGGTGCAGTAGAGACTCCAGCACTGAATCCTCTGCTTTCCACTGGGTGTGAAGCAAAGATTATGGGATTTCTCTATGTTGCACAGCAGATCCAAGACACAGGTTATAGCAAGACTGGAACAAGTCCCAAGTCACAGGTTATAGCAAGATTGGAACAAGTCCCAATTAATATGGGACCATGTTAATTTTGTTATGGAGGAAATTTCATAGAAATATCCCATTTATATTGAATTTGCTGTTAACTTCTCAAAATATTCAAACTGATTATTAACATCTTCAGTTAGAAGTTTAGATACAGAAAGTGGTAAGTCACTTTACTACTGAATCTATCTAAACTTGCTACTCTCTCTTTCTCTTTCTATATATATATACGTTCATATATATAAAACCTGTATTACTTTTGGGTAAGTTTCAGCTATGAGTTTGCCAAGAGAGGGGCCAGATTTAGAAGGGTCATTTCGAGCAAATAAGAAAAGGACTATTGTTTCTACTCTTCAGTTGGGTACCCATACCAGTGCCACCCAAGCAAAGGCTTTGATTCTTCAGAAACTAATATTGAAAAGTAAAGATATCTTAGATGTTCCACATTCTAAACAGGTAAGAAACAGATTTAGAGAATGTAAATTAAAATATACTATGCGTCACTCTAACTCATTGAACTTTTCAAAAGAAGGAGACCTTTTGAATATCCTAAATCCTGAAAATTTTCCCTGTGTTTGACTTACTTTCAGTACCAAAACTATGTGCTTTATCGTTGCTTGGTGGAGCATGGAGTTCTGGAAAGTGGGAAAAGGAAACCTTGCCCTTTTGCTTTTCCTTTGAACTATATAATGTAATTCCAGAAGAATATTTTTTTAACCTCTTAGTGTGTATTCTTGTTCTCTGGGTCTTACATCCACCTCTGGGATAAATTTAGAAGCAGAAAGTAAGGCAAATTCTGTGACCACAGCAAGTACTGTCAATATTCTGTATTTCCTGGAAGCTAAGCATATTCCTTGTTAGGAACAGTTTGGGGTTTTGGCTTTTGTTTTTATTTTAGTTTTTAAGCTAATATAAGTATAGCTGCAGTAATATCCAACAATGTCATCTCACTAACTCAAGCAGTGCTAGTACAGCTCCACAGAATCTTTCCATTGCACAAGTGGTTGCCAATTATGCTTGCACAGCAAGTTGTACAGGGGTTAAGCCCAATGGGTTGCATGAGTATAACGCACAAACACTTGCACAACTGTGCTTGAGCAAATGTAACTTCAATTGGATTCTTCTTCTGTGCATAGTTCAAAACATAGTTTTCATTAGTACAACACCATTTGTGCTAATGGATTGACACAGTGGGATACTGCCCTAGGATAACTCATGTTATACTATCCTGTATGCAGAAATGACAACTTTATTGTTAGGTGGCCTGTTCCACTGGCATACTGATAGGCACTTGATTGTATTAGATCAGTATTAGGAAACCAAAACTTTTAATGGTTGAGAAAAATTGATTGTGGATTAGTATAGATTTCTTATCTGCTACTAAAATACATTACTGGAGTGGTTGAAAATAAAGAGACCTGGAGGCTAATGGAGCGCTGTTGGAAAGGAAATCAAGATGAATCCAATCAAGCACTGGTAAAAATTTAAAGATGACTACCCTGGCAGTTTGGGCAGCATAAAGAACATATATTCTTTTTATGCAGAAATATATATATTTCTGCATGTTCCTGTGGACATTATCATGTCCAAATATAATAAACCACCAATGCTTTCCTGTGCTGTAAAAGGTGTCCTTTGAAAGGATGTTGGAGAGGGAAGCCAGTGGCTTGCTGTGAGTTTTCTTCCTCTTTGTGGATACAGTTGCTTGAAAATGCCTTGACTTGGACTCAGAATAATATAACCTTGGCAACTGCCTATTCACCTGGTTTGAATGCTTTTTAGTTTATGCATCTTGTAGATGTGAACAGGGTGCCTGGAATGGCAAAAACCACCAACTGTGTACCTAGACCTTGCCTTTCTTGAACGATTAAATCATCTGAAATAAGACAATGGAAGATACTAGAGTGTTGTTCCCTCTTGTGGATAGGGGAATCTCTACTACACCCTCTTTTGTTTCTCAGGGAGCACTCTCTCCTGTATTTACCATGAGATTAGGACACATGCTGACGAATACAATGTACTCCCCATTGTGTTGAAAATGTGATCTTGTGTCACAGAGCAATTGCAAGAGAAGTAGGAGGAGTTGGAAAGGGGATATGTGTAGGGAAATGGCCCTTAAAAATGTTTTGCCCCTGTCATTAGTTATGGGCAGGTGCAACAAGTGAAGGACCTGGATTTTTTTTAAGGGAAAAAAATAGATAGCTCCTCATTCCCACTCCCACAAGACATCATGTAGAAGGAGAAAATGTGAAGACTGTGCTTCTGCTTGTTGCCATCCTCCAACCACCTAAGGAGTAAGGCCGGCAGGATCAGTACTCCAATTCTTTACCACTCAAAAGCAGTTCTTAAAAACAAGAGCAGCCCCTCTCCCATGTTGACTTTTCTATGAGGAAGTGCTATTGAAGTCAGTGTGATTTAATTCTGAGAAGCACCATTGAAAATAATATTTACTTCTGAACAGGCACACATATATGGAGCATTTTCAATTAGTTGTCCCTTGAGGCAAAAGGACAAAGCAGGCATTGAGTCACATTCCAAAGTTTTTTCAAAGGACAGGAATGGGGAAGTGGGGGAAGCATCATTGCATTTGGTCTTTAGTTCACTGGTCAAACTGGGGGTGAAAGGGGGAGAGAATCTAAAGGTGAGAAAGAGAGAGGCAGGGGTACAACTGAAGGGTAACTGGGTTTCTCTCTTTCCCAGGGTTGCTGCTGTTTTGTCAATGTTGCTTCCACTTGCAGTGCTACTCCTAGCTCTGCCCCCAGCCACTGAAACCATTGCTCTCACCCAACAAACAGCACATACTGAATATACCATGGAAAAAACATGGCATATTAAAAAGCTGTGATGTAACTGGTCTGAAGAAATGCAGGTTACAATGGCTGGAGGAGGACAATTTGGGCTGAGTGTCCTGCCGCATGCCAGTGAGTCAGGCATTCCAACTTTGCGACTAACATAACAAATAACTGTAGAATACCCCTTGCCTAAAGGAAGATATAATATAACCCATCAAGGAAGACATAATATAACCCTGCATCAAGGGAAAGAACCTTCCCTTGATGCAGGAGATCTGCCTAACTATAGGACAGTCTCAGATATAACAACCTTGGCTAATCACATTAATGCTCCAAATGTAACTAGATGAAACCTGTTATCTAGACTCATTTCATTTGGACTTTTGGAAAGAATGTGTGACTGCTTTGGTCACTCTGCTGGATGACCTACACTTAAAACTAGATTGGAAGTGAGTCCCTTTTAGTTCTCTAGGACCTGACAGTGGTTTTTGATACCATTGACCATGGTATCCTTCTGGACTATTGTGTAGTGCTAGGACTTGGGATTGCTGTTTCACAGTGGTTCCAGTCTTTTCTACCATGCTACATCCAGCAGGTGGTGCTGGAGGATTATTGTCAACTCCATGGCCATTGGTGGCCTGTGGTTTCCCACAGGGGTCAATCTCCCCCACTGCCCATGACATTTAATACTTGCATAAAACTGCTTGGACAGGCCATTCGGAGCTTTGGCGTAAAATACCACACACATGCTGATAATATACTTCATGTGCGGACTGTAATATTCTTATTTTAAGGCGTTACTCTTTATCGATGATCTCAATGCACCAATACCAGAGGAGTATGGATCTCAGCCACCGCTTGAACTAATACGGCAGTTATTAGATTTGGGAGGATTTTATGATACTCGGCACCTTGATTGGAAGGTACTGCATAATATGGACCTGATTTCCTTCTTTAGTTCTAATACTTTGTTGAATATGGAAACTAAAGCATTAACATTATTAACTGTGTGATATGAAAACTGTTCTGGTTTAGTTGTCATCAGTCTTCTTATTAGATACATTGGATTCTTATTCAAAATACATTGTTAAGGAGAATGAACAGAATTATTACCATTAATTTGTATATTTTAAAGTAAAGCTTTTGATATTTTTAATCAAACTTTTATTTTAATTTACTCTTGTTTAATCTCTCATATACCTCCCTTTTACCAACAAAACAAAACAAAGTTGAACATTCTGAGAAAACATTTTCTGTCTGAACCTGAAAGCATACTGTGTTAGTTCTAAAGATGAGGCAATTCTTCCTTGTTTATGCATAATTGGGGCAGACCTGAATTTTTAAAAATGAATTTGCTGCTGTCAAATCTGGTTTAGGGTCAGAATTCCAGAACATCAACCTGAACTTCTCTGTTTTGAGTTTATGGGAAGATTTGTTCAGTAGCTTCTGTCCATGCAACTCCATACATTTTCTTTTCTTGTTAAGGTTATTTTAATTTGTTGATTTTCATGAATCTGAAGGATTTCTTGGACTGAAGGGTTTATTTCTTCCTTATGTACAGTGCTTTTAAAGTGCACAAAAATTCTATGCATTATTTTAAATTCAGATCATTCTTTCATAACATCATGCAAAATAAATGTATCAATTCACTTCCATATCACTTTGTTTCATAAATTCTAGAAGTTTGCTCTTCAAACTGAGATGTTATTTTTGTTGTTGTTGTTTAACAGAATGTATTACCAATAGCCCTACACTACTAAAGCAAGATTTGAAATATTTTAAGTCAATAATTTAAAAGGAATCTCTTACATTCCTCTCACAGAATGTCCTGGACATTGCTTTGGTTGCAAATTGTACACCACCCAGTGAAGGAAGCAATGGGATTAGTGCTCGTCTCCTGACACATTTTTGCACATTAGTTTTGCCTGCAACATCTTTACAATCTTTGCAACGTATTTTCCAGGTAATAGATAAAATAGTCCAAGAACCATTGGAAGACTTTTTTAAAAAATCAAGAAGTTATATTTAAAAAGTCTGAAGTAGATAAAAAAGCTATTCTTTTCTTCAGAGTTAACTGTCTCAGAAGATCAGAATTAAAAATTAGGGGAAAGGCATAACTTCACCAGACCTGTAGCTCTACTGCATATTTACAGTCTCTGCCCTGTGGCCAAAGTTGAGTTTCTTCTTGCTTTTGCTTGTTCAGATATAACCCTAAATCATAATATTACAAAACCATTGGTTCCAGTGGAAATAGTAGCAGCAGATTCAAGGAGAATTTTTTATGTCAGGATTGTGGCAGGGAATGAAAGAATTAAATTTTCCCTTTGATCCCACCTGCTGTTGTTCACAGTTTGTTTGGGCTTCCCTACAGCTTGCTATTTATGTAACAGACAATACATATAATTATTCATACATTTCACACAGTTAACATAATGTCTATATTAGCCCACAGATATAATATGTGATAACTTGGGCTAACCATAAAAAAGTCAAATATTCCACTAGGCATGCCCAAGCTTTGGGCATACCAAAAAGTTGCTCTTTAGAACTCAGTCGTTCTGCTATATGTTGTAGTGACCACATGGCATTTTTTGTGCATAATACTGAACTGACAGGCTGGATATAGAGTTGCTCATCTTTTAATATATACCAATTCAGGTTGTTATAGGTAATTTTATTACATGCTATTTAATTGATGCATTTAGTTATGGTCTGGGAATAATGTGTAGGGGGCAACCATTCAGGTGCTTCAGGGCAACAGGCAATATGCCTTTGGCAGGGTGAAATACTGTTGCAGAAGAAGAGAGAATGCTATTTTATATCTCCTCTTCTGGTCAACCTGTCAACCAAGGTAATTTGGAAAGTACTCTGAGCACCCACAGTCCCTTTAACTGCTCCTGTGTCATGTCAGTTTGGCCCATAATAAAATTGCACTTGTCTACAGTCTGGTTAAGGATGAGTGGATTGACCTGGCCTGTCTCACAGAGACCTGGCTGGGAGAAGACAGCTGTTCAGTATGGGCACAGGCCCTCCCACCTGGCTATTGTGCTGTGGATCAGGTAAGGGAAAGTGGGTGAGAGGGCTATGTGCCTGTGATCTGTTAGCATATTATCCCATTGACCAGGCACCCTGTCAAGGATCTGAAATACATTGAGATTAGGATCCAAGAACAGACTGGGGATTCTGCTAGTTTACAAACCACCTTGTTGCCTAGCAAAATCTTTGGCTGAACTCACAGAACTGGCCTTGGATTCTTGCAATCAGTTAATTCTGGGGGATCCATCAAATCAAATCAAATAAACATATATAATTTAGCTTATATCTATTATTTGTTGAAATAAAATGTTGTGCAAATTGGTAAAAAGGTATATGTTTGGTTTCCTGTAGGTTTCTCTGGGATCATACTTTTATATCAACAGATTCTTGGTTGAAGTTCAGAAATGCAAGGACTCTTTAACATGTGCTTCTATTGCTTTGTACTACAGAATGTTTCGTAAAATGCTACCAACTCCAGCTAAGTGTCATTACACATTTAACCTGCGGGATTTATTTAAGGTTTGTTATGATGACAATATTATTAAGTTTATCAGAAGCATGCTTTATAATTTGTTTACAATGCTTTTGAAAACACATACAAAATTGACTTAAAGATCACCTTTGAAGCTTGCAGCAATTCAGTGGGGAGAGGTGGTAAAATTGTAGGAAGCAGGGAATGTAGTATCAGTTAAAGTTAGGCAAATAAGGCCAGAGAGAGGAACACTTTAAAAGTGTAGTACATTTCAATGTAATTCAGTCATTTTACTCTTTATTGTTTACCCCTCCCTCTGTTTCCTTCCCCTTTTCTACTGTTTGCCATATGTCAGATTTTACCAAGGTACATCATTGCAACTATCCCATCAATACCCATCTGAAACAGATGGTCTTGGTCAAGGCAATCTTCTGGCTTCATTAATTCAGCCATTCCTATGCTACAACTGTAGGTGTTACATCCACTTTTTGTAGCTGTGATGCTCTGCAATTCCAGCAGCGACCTAGAAAGTATAACGTTGCTGGTAGAAAATTGAGCTACAGTCGCAACACTGACAGTTATTTGCACAGCATCCAAGACAACTCACTGTCGCCCACTAGACAAGGTGCTCTATATTGACACTGCCTCAGTTTTTATCCATGTGCTTCCATGATATTCACTGTACAGCAATGCACATGTTCAAGCACAACCAGCTAACTAGAAAGAGACAACTCACTGCAGCTCACCAATCACAGTGTTACATATGACAATGCCTACATTTTATACAGTGACAGGAAAAGTTCCAGTCACAGTAGCAATGGCAGATTGCCTCCATCGTGCTACCAGACACTTAGTGCACAACAAAGCAGCTAGGATGAAACCACAGTGCTTTCCCCTGCACAAGGAATTTATGGCTGCAAGGAGTCTTTTGCTGCTCTCCTTTCTATTGCACCAGGGGATTTAATAATAATCCTATCTTCATCCAACAAGTGTAACTTGAAGATAGGATTGTAATTCTCCAGAAGCTTGCAGAAGTCATTATGTCACATTGGGATGGCCTCTGGAACTCTAGAACTGGTGGGCAGGGCCAAAAATTGCTCTTCAGGGATGGGGCTGACTAAATTACCCAGACCAGCTCTGCCTAGCAAGTCTGGGTTGGGTGGAGTTGCTTCTCTTAAAAAACAATTCAGCTACTCTTGTTCTATAGGGTTTCCTCCCCTTTGTCTCTGTTTTTTGTAGCCCACACCCTAAATAACGGAGTTAGACAAGTAAGACCCATTTTTAATTTTGCTGGGGCCTGGTGATCAACGCTTAAGACACTGGCCTTTTGCTGCCATGGTCAGCCCCCAGACAGCTGCTGCAGTGTGTGGGGCAAGTGTTCACCAATGACTTCGTGTGTTTGGCCCTGACGGAGGTGGTTGCAGGAATCTGGAGACTGTAGTGGGTGTGATAGTCCCACCATGCTTCCTTGATTCCCTTGACACTGGGAAAGCAGGAGACACTAGTCTCCACTCACCCATAAGGTTAACTAGGTGATGTTGGGCCACGCACAGACTCTCACTCCAACCTACCTCACAGTGTTGTTGTGGGGACAACACTGACAGCAGCAACAGGAGAATTATGTTAAGTTGCTTTGAGTTCTTTTTAAGAAAAGGGAAGAATGTTATTATTCTTAATTAATAATTAAGAATATTAAATATAATTAATAATAACACAAAAGAGGATCTTATTGGTGTCCACTCTCTGTACAACTCTTTCTTGAGATGTTTGGTTTGCTTTTCCTCTTCTGTCCTTCTGCACCTTTTTATTCAAGATGTAGGTGGATGTGTTGGGTTGTAAACAGTTTTTATTCTGTTATTGAATGTTTACTTGTATTATTTTGTTTCTGTTGTTTCAATCAAGTCTTATTTGTGATTGAAAGCCACCTTGAGTGCCATTTTTCTTGTTTAGAAAGGATGGATAGAAATCAAATAAATGTCAAGCATTCTGTTTCAGATTAACATAAATGATTAAAGCTAGTTTGAGAAATATTTAATTCTAAACTTTAAATTATCTTCATCTGGATCTATCCCTATTATGTGTATGTTTGAATTGGATCTCTGATTCTGGATTTTATTTAGGGGCTGGGTTGTTTGATAGGACAGTATAATTTTTGGTTTTTCAGCATTTTCCAAATTATTCAAAGGCTGATCCTAATTAGTGATGCAGGTATCATTTGCATCCAGGTTATTTTTAGTTATTTTTACTGTTATTAGTTATCAGGATCTAAATGATTTTACTTAGATTTTTATCTTTCCACAGACTCAGGTCATCTATCATAGCCACCAACTTTGTGAGCTGAATAAACAACACATCTTGCAGCATGCAGTGATAGAAGGCTATTTCCCACTGAGTTAGAAATGGCGATTGGCAAATATTTTCAGGCAATTAGTGATCTTCTTAGGTTATCAGTGGCCAAACAGGACATTCATATACCATGGAAGGAGTGAATATCCCTCAATTTCTTAATCTGGCTGAGGTTTCTCATCTCCTTAATATTTCTCAGTCTAATTAAATAAAAACTAGCAGTAACTCAGAATAGAAATATGAACAGTTAGTAATGTGACCCCAGTTTTAATCCAAAAAGTTAGTCTCTTCTGAAATATTTAATAGGTACTTAAAGGATTGCTCCAAGCCCACAAATCTGTCATTGTCTCAAAAGAAACAACAGCATTGCTCTTTGTGAATGAATGTACCAGAGTTTTTCATGATCGTCTGATTGATTCTGCAGAAAAAGAGATGTTCTATCAATTTCTTTCCAATGAACTCCGTAACTATTTTAAAGTAAGTACTGTGGTAGTGGTTGGTGTGTGTGTGTGAGAGAGAATGGGGGCTTGGAAGAGAGCCACTATACTTATGTGACTTTTTTCCTAACAATAAGCATGAAAATATGAAATCCATATCTTAGAAACAGAAACTGAGTGAGTCAGAAGGGGGCGCCTGGACCATCTAGTTTGACCCCCGGCTCCAGCCGTCTCTTACTACATGCATGTCCAGCCTATCCTTGAACACCCTCACTGATGGGGCTGCAACCACCTTCCCGTGGAAGCCCATCCCATATCCTCAGGGTCCAAACTGTCAGGAAGTATTTCCTAGCATCCAAATTGAAGCTTGGTTCCTTAAGGTTGGCTCCATTGGAGCGCATCAAGCAATGCGTTTTCAATTCATTTTCTTGTAATTATGTTTAATATTTAGTATTCTGTGCCCCACTTTTCTGTTATAATAAACACTTTATGTAGATAAGCATTTTTCCAATAAAATAATCTTAAAAATATAGACTGAATTAAAATATATGATGTAGCAGCTGAAAAGGATTCACTTCTCTCAGTGTCACAATCCCAGGCCAGTTTTAGGAGCCCCGGAGTTACTACCAGTTATTAAGCAACAGCTAAGATCTTATTCATGGCTCTCACATCAAATCTCTATCCCAGCTGGGAAGACTTGCAATTAAGATATTATGGGAACCATTCCCTTAATTTAGAGCGACTTACTTTTCTCAAGCAGGTGAACATAGTATTGCTATTTTTATTTCCCAATCTTTAAGAAAAAGGAGAATTTCCACAAAATTGGTAAAATTTGATTTGCATTTCTTGCAAGGAGGAAAATATCACACAGAAGCCAGGAAACCACTAAAAGATTAGCCGTGGGAAAAATGGAATGGAGTCAAGGGAAGAAGCATGGTCATCTGAAACCAGCAAGCTGTATTTGCCCCCCTCTCCCATCCCCAATTGGGCTGGACTTGGCCTACAGATGGGCCAACTTTGGCCCATGGGCTTCAAGTTTAACACCTCTCTCTTAAATAAATGTGTTTGATTCCATGTCAGTATTGGCTTTTATCATCTGGCAACTTCTCCTTAAGTGAACTTCTATTTATTTTTTGTTTGTTATACTTATCAGCTCAAAGGCTGTCCAGACCATTCACAGAAATGAAATACAGTAATAAATCCATATAAAACAATCATGATAAAAACACCATAAAAGTACTTCTAGTTCGCATGTTCTATGTGTAGTACGTAGGAGTTTGGATTGCATTAGTCCACCTTTATCAGCAAAGCCAAGCTTGCTAGGTTTATCCAGAAATGTCCTCATTTTCATCTGTGAAATGTTGGGGAGCATTCCCCAACATTGGGGAGCAATGTTGGGGAAGTACTCTGCAGATGCAAGGGTCAGACGACAATGTTGGACCTATTAAATAAGGCAGGGTTGGGCAGAACGCCTGAATCTATTTGCATATCTCTCGGTATTTATGGTAGATAATCAAGAAGTTCTTTAATAATGGTAGCAACAAAATGAAGAAACCTTGGGCTGATCAGGAGGGCATTTTTGTGTTAAAGGATTATGAGCTCAAAATTCCTTAATTCTGAAAGTACTTCTTCTGAACCTATTTTCAGTTGGTGGATATCAGATGCTAGAAAAGCATCCCGATGTTTGTCCATGCCTGAAATAAGTGATCTTACACAAATAACGTTATAGAAAGTATGGTTTGTCTTTATTACTATCTAAAATATTTACCTTATTTTTACAGCTTTTTTGGTCCAAAGAGAAATTGATGGAGGACCCACCCATATTTGTGGATTTTCTAGAACCAAACACACATGTGGAAAAGAGAATCTATAGAAACATCACTAATCAGAAGCGTCTTCTTTTAGTACTAGAAGAATACTACATGAGAATGCAGGCCATACACCCTGAGGTAACATTAATAAGTCTGAGTTATTTGAAAATTTTTGTTCGCCCACTAAATTATGCATATGTGTAGCCTACATAGAGGCAAAGTAAACAAATAATGAGAGACGCTGTGGTGTAGTGGCCAGAGTGTAGGGCTGGAACTGGAAAGACGTGTCACAATCCTTGCTGACCCAAGAAGCTCCCTGGCTAATCTTTGGTAGGCCAGTCATTGGTCAGGAGAAAATGGGGAGAATAGACTGTATAGTTCTATGAGCTCCTTGCAGTGCAGGCAAATATATATTTGTAACTTGAGACGGTGTGCTGTGGTTGTTAGAGTGCTGAACTGGGGACTGAGGAGATCTGGGTTCTAGTCTCCACTCAGCCACAAAGTTCCCTGGGTGTCTTTGGTTTAGTCACTAACTCTCAGCCTAAACTACCTCACAGGATTGTTGTGGGGATAAAATGGAGCTATGTAAGCTGCCTTTGGTTCTGCACGAAAGGAAAAGGGGCAGGATATACATGCAATGTAATGCTAGGTAGGTAGGTAGGTAGATAATAGTGACAATAGCAACAATAGTTATTGCTAACTTGAAGAATTATTTATTTAGGATTTTTCTAGGCTGTTCAATCACTTCCATCTCTAGACAGCTCACAACAATCTGGAAGTATAGCATGCACACAGACTAAATGTTCACATGTTTTAATAAATTTGCATGAGATCTGATGTGCTAGAAACCACCTTATCAGTTCTATAACCTGTTGATAACCACTTTTGGGATTGCCATATATAAATGTATGATTTGATGATAATGAAGGGCTATGCATTTTAAAGATCACGGGCAATGAATAAATTTAGACAGAGAGGCATTTTTGGTGATTACCTGCAGCAGAAATATTTGATTTCCAGTAAGTTGAAATATGGGAACCATCCTAAATTAAGACAGGGTGACTTGAGCATAGATACTTGTCCATGCTTTCCCAGATTGAGGCATTTCCTGTGCAATTTTGTATGTAACTTAATATTTCTCAGGTTATTAATCTAGTGCTGAGAAAGCTTGCAGAGATGGCAGTTGTCCTTCTGGCACAGGCTGTTAATGGGAGAACCATGGAGCTGCAGTCTCACTCTGCCTGCCAGCTGTCTGATCATCACAGCTTCTTAAGGTCCTTGAGCTCCACCTGAGAGGTGCTATGTGACTGCTGTATCTCCTCACTCTAGGGGCATGGCTTCCTCCTCCAATGAAAGGGAAATGGCACTTGAAAGCCCACAAGTGGGCATGGGGAGGAATAATGATTTTTGTCCCAGTTTGATAAGAAATCTTCCCAGCACTGTTGGCCCATTTTCCTGGTTGTTTGCTGCAGCTGCCCCTTCCAGCAAATGTTCCGGGTCGTAAGGCAGGTGGTGATGGTGATCAAGTTACTCTCAGGCTCTTGTTCCTCCTCCATGATTGCATTGGCTCTTTGACCCCAGCAGCTAGTGCAGTCCATGTAAGAAAAGGGGTCATGCTGCTGTTTCTCTTTCTCCTGGGTTAGCTTTGAGGATTAAAATTAAATGCGTGCATAGTTCAAAGCTGCTGTGATCTGGCTAGCTCTGAGAAAAGTACGTTCTTCTAAATTCATGACCATTTCCAGTGGTCTCCCCTCTATTTTGCAATAACTGCCCTGAACTCTGCAATTTATTCATAATTATAGCATAGAATGTTTTAAGGTACATTAAGCCTTTCGGCATTATTACAAACTGATATTTGTGTATCTCCTTAGAATATTGCAATAGTATTTTTTAAAGAAGCTGTACAGCATATAACAAGGGCGGCAAGAGTTTTTCGACAAGAAGGCAGTCACATGATACTTGTAAGAACATTTCCTTATGTTTTTGTATGTTAGATCCCAGTAGCAGTGATTTAAGAGCACAATTAGCAGTTCCTAAATCAAGATAAATTTTTCCTTTAACTCTTGCTAGGGCTCAGTTCTGTCAAACTCGGGCTTCTGATCATTCATGGAAGAGTGGGAGGAGTACTGGCGGTGATCTTCATCTCCTCATCCTCCTGCTCTGCAGATTTTGCTAGACAGGTTTTTAGTTGTCCAGTAACAATGCTTCAAGGAAGGAGTGAAGGAAGCTGAAAGAAGATCAAGATAACTTGTATCCTGACCTCTGCAGTCTCCTCTCCTCCTTACCCAGTGGAATGCCCCTCTTTCTAAAGTTGATTTTTTGACCTCAGGGTGAAGAAACAGGAGAGGGTGGTTGGAACTCTAATTTTATTTATTATTTAGTTAAAGTTTTTATATGCCGTCCAACACTAAAAGTCTCTGGACAGCTTACAAAAAACAAAACAACCATATACAACACACAACACACTGCATCCGATAAATGATGATGAAATCAAGAATAAAACCAATTAACTGTTAAAATATTGGGAAAATATGAAAGTCTTCTCCTGACACCAAAAAGAATAAGTGTGTTCCACAGTTGGCGTGCCACCACTAAAAAGGCCCTTCTACAAGTAGCTACCCTCCTAATTTCCTTCAAAGAGGGCTCCCAGAGAAAAACCTCTGTCTCAAATCTCATGGGGCAGGCAGGCACATAGGGAAGAAAGAGCTTGAGCACCCAAACTGTTTAGGGCCTTATAGCTCATCACCAGCATCTTAAATTGGGCCCAGACTTCAATTGGCAGCCAGTGTAGACAATATAGGACCGGCGTGATATGGGAGTATCTGCCGGTCCCCATTAATAACCTGGAAGCTCTATTCTGGACCAACTGAAGTATCTGGACTATGTTCAAGGGCAGTCCAAATAGGAGGTTACTGGAGCATGGGTATCCATTGCTGGGCACTGTAAGGATGCTGCTGATGTATCAGCCAAAGCTGAAGGAAAGTGCTCCTCACCACTGCTAGCACCTGGTGCTCCAGAGACAGGTCAGGGTCGAAGAGCACTCTCAAGCTGCATACCCTGTCCTTTAGGGGGAGTGCAACCCCATCCAGAACAGGGCAACTTCTCTTTCCAAGGGGGGCTCCCCATTCTCCTCCAGCTGCTCAGATAATTTTTTGTCCCTTCTGCTTCACTTCCATATTTGTTTTATGAAACAGATGGGAAACATGGAGTCTAGGGCTGCAATCCTATACACAACCATGGGAGTAAATTCTTTTAAACCTAGTACAATGTAATTCTGAGAAATCCGCATATGACTATATTGTGTGGCAGAATACTTGAGTATGTATTCTGTTTTTCAGTTGTCTATATATTCAGCTTTTAGATATATTTCCCATATGGGCCAATCCAGTAGAGGAAAGATAACATTCATTAATGTCAGCAAACCTAGAATACTTACCAGAGTAGATCAGTGTCATTGACCTTTAGGCATCAAAGTCTGCCACTAGCCTTGGGTTATTTCAATGCACGTAGATACTTTGGGTTCTTTTTACTTCAATTCATGTATTAAAGATTACATAAATCTTATAATGATTAAGATTTGATTAAATGGATCTTACTTTTCTGGTATTGGTCTCAAATGTGACTCATGTTACTCTACAGGTTGGTCTAGATGGAAATGGGAAAGTAACCTCTGCCTCCTTAGCATGTTACTTGTCTGAATGCAGCCTCTACAAGTTATCTATTTCCCGCACTTACAATCATGGAAATTTTAGAGACGACCTTAAGGCAGTCTATAAGAAGGCAGGCCTGGAAGGCAAGAGGACTGTTTTTCTCATCACTGACTCAGACATAATTCAGGTAAGACTTTCTGCTATATGTATTAAACTTTCACTGGAATAATCTTTAGAATCATATTAATGACACACTAGTTGAGATTTTCCATCCTTTAGGTCTAATGCAGTTAGCAGAAAACCTTTTGCTTTGACGGAATTTGATTAAGGGCTTTCTATGTTCATTCAGGCTCCCAAATACTGGAAAATTACAGTTGTTAAGAGCAATACTATGGACATGGCATGGCATGCTTTGTCTAGTTCCAGCTTCACTACTGCCTTGGAGCTGGATGGTTGTAAGTGAAAGTGATGGTTCTTAGCACAGGAACAGTCGGTGGAACAGACACACAGACTGTATGCAACTGAAGTTATCATTCCCAGCTGAAGTTACTATTCCTATTGATAAGTGCTCTGCTGGCAAACAATAGCTGGCAATCATGTGGCATGGTGGTTAAAGTGTTGGAATGGAGACCCTGGAGATCTCTGTTCTAGTTCCCACTCAGCCATGAAGCTCACTGAGCAATTTTGAACCTCTTGCTCTCAGCCTAACTTACCTCACAAGGTGGTTGTTGTGAGGATAAATGGAGTGGAGGAAGGCTATGTAAAGCCTTGGGTTTCTCACAAGATGAAAAGGTGGGATATAAATGCAGTATAGCAAAGACAAAACAGAATAATGAAAATGGAAAAGTGTAGGTGCTGATCTGGAAAGAACTTTGATGGGACCCTGCCAAAAGATTTTAGAACACCTTGGGTATAGTTTGGCAGAAGAACCATTCTGTTCAGATGTAGTTGCCTTCAAAAAATCAACTAGAGTAGGGACAGTCAGTAGGCTTCCAGGAAACATCTGTTCACCCACTGTTGAAGGAGAGAGAATGAAGCCACTTTTGTTAGCCAGAATGAGCTAACAAATGCAGGCATGTGCTGTCCTTAAAAGAATGTATCTGTCTGCAGTGCTGCAGCTGCAGGAGTTTGATTAGATAATCTGTGTTGCCCCTTCTTTCATTCCCCTCCATTTCTCATCTATATTCACACAAGGCTCAAAACAGAGGCCTCAAAAATAATGTGAAACATTGGAAAAGGGAGAAAGCAGGATAATTGCTACAAGATAGCTTTGCTGGGGTTTGTACCTCCTTTTAAAATAAGTAGGCAGTCACCCCAACCTAAATGCTCTTTTTAAAGAAGTAGGCAATCACTTCCATGATTAAGCCACGAAATAGAGGATGATTTGACTTTTAAAAATAGTAGTTGATATTTTTGAAAAAAGCAGTTTTAAACCTTTTTAAATGCACACAATATGGTGGAAGCCTAATCATCTTTTCAGGGCCAGGCTAAGACTGTCCCCTACTTCCAGGCATTTAATGGCTCATGATAGAACAGGTCAGCTGTTCTAACAGGTCTTATTTATATAGAAATTTAAACAGTTCTTTAAACTGTTAAAAAGTTTGTATATTGGAATTTTATGCTGCATTTTATTGCATTATATTTGTACTTCCACCCATGTTTATTGTTGTCCTTACGTTTATAAATTATTGTTAACCTTCCACAAAATTTTGGTTATTGGGTCATATTGAAACAAAATTAATAATAACAGCAACAAAACCCACCATTTTGTCACCCAAGACCAATGGTACAACACTGTTGAGAATATTTCAATGACACTATCACAACCTTCTTTCATATACTATTTTTCAATTACAATGGAAGTGCTAGCAGGAATAGCATTGCCCCAGCAACCACAAATATTGCAATTTGTGAGTTAGCAAAAATGTGATCACCATGCAAAAGGAAGATTGCTTTGAGGAAACACATGTGGCTAAGTATGTACTATAATGGATATAATGTACAATTGCACAACTTTGAAAAACATATTTGATTTTTTTCCCCACAAAGGTCAAGTAACAATGATGCAATTTTTGCATTAGAGAGCCTTTTGTAGATATCAGGCATTTGGACATGACTTCTTTTAAACTTCCATCACATGATTATTTTAGCTCTGACTCCATGGGGTTCAAATGTACCATAGTTACAATTCAACACAAAATGAAACAAAATCAAGCCCATCAAGTTCAATCTTAATCAGGTTTGGTGGTGCTTTGTTCTGATTCTGTCTGATTCACTAGTGATGTGAGATAACTAATAAATACCATTTTTGTAGGAGTCATTTTTAGAAGACCTGAGTTGCATTCTGAAATCAGGACAAGTGCCCAACTTATTTGAGAAGGAAGAGTTGGATAACATCATTGTTCCGCTAACATCTGTTGCTGAAAAGGCAAAGCACCCCAACAAAATAGAAAATATCTATTCATTCTTCTTAGAGGTAGAATTTTAAATTTGTCTGTCCGCTGTGACCAAATGTTTCACATCCACTGTAACTTGGCTCCCATATTTAGGTAGGACCCAGTTTGATATGCCTGTAGCTTGTCCTATTTTGAGGGATTGCTTCTTGGTTATTCACCTGGGAATGCGAGCATTTTGCTTGAAGGTCTGAATCATCCACATATTCCTTTGGCCTTTGCCCAATCTAGTTCATGAAGGCAACCAGAGAAGCCTTTGACAGATGGATGATGACAGTTGTAAATATCTCCCCCAAGGATGGTGTCATGCCATCCATTTTAAAAATAGCAGTACCCAGTCCTCTGCTGAAAAAAGAACAATAATAATTAGCGGTGTGCTTTATGTTTTAAGCTCTGTGGAAAGCAGTATGCAAATTTGAATAATAAATAAATTCTTGTGGTCTTTAGCAAGGTTATACCTTTTAGCTCATACTGTTTAGTAGCTACATGAAACTGCTAGGGAATAGACATTTAAGTGTGAGAGCTGACCATAAATAATAAAAAGAGGGACTGTACATATCCAGTCATATGAAAAGTATACACATTTTTCAGTTTTCAAAGATGGGTATCTTCAGGGAAATGTTAAAGGAAAAGTAAGTCAGCATATATTTCAAATATTATTGTGAAAAATCAGGAGCCCCATTGCAAAATTGATATAATTTTATACCAATAACGCTTTTAATTTTATACCAAATAGAAATGACACTATTTGCTATGTAGACATAGCATTATCAGATTTTAGAGCAAATAAGTTCACTTTTCAATATCAGCTCTTATGGAATACCTTGTAGGGCAAATCCAAGCATGTTGTTTATTTAGAAATAAGTTTCACTGATTTCACTGGAGCATACCTTCAAGTAAATGTGCAAAGGATTATAACAAAACAATCTGTATGACAGTCTAAGCATTCATGTATGCATAGTTTTGAAAAGAGAGAGAGAAAGAGAGAGAGACAGTGTGTGTGTGTAGCTTTCACACATGATTCTATCTTCATTTCAGCGGGTACGTACCAATCTTCATGTAGTTTTCACAACAAGTGCTGCAGGGCTGGTCTTCCGTCAGCGTTGCCGGACGTATCCTGCCATTGTTAATTGCTGTACAATTGACTGGTATGATGCTTGGCCCGAAGAAGCCCTTTGTCATGTTGCAAAAAGCTACTTTAGGCAAGATGACACGCTTGGAGATGAGGTAGGGTACTAATCCATTGTATGACATTGGAAACTATTTTTTTTAATGTTCTCACTAATCAGGTCCAGTTGGTAAATTCAAACTTTACATGAATCATTGCAATTCAGTTTGCAAATTTGGGTAAAGTTGCATGCTATGAGTCAGTACCCATGAGAATGGACATTTGTGTACACTAAATGAGAGAAAATTTAGACATGGATAAATTTGCACAGTACAGTGGTACCTTGGCTCACGAACGCCTCAGTTCATGACCAAATCGGGTCATGAACAGAAATTTCATAAAAATTTTGCTGCAGGTTGCGAACTCGGCATCAGGTAATGATCATGAGCACGCCCGCCTTCCCTGCACGGACGCCATCATGGTTGTGCGGGGGGGGGGGAGAGATAGCTGTGTTTGTCCTGGGGGGGAGATGACCACGATTGCGCCCGTGTTCCCTGCCTGAGCACGCCTGCGCCCACCTCCCCCCATGTGCCCACACCCGTCTCCCCTCAGTGCACCCGCGATCGCACCTGTGATCGTGCCTGTCTTCCCCCACCCCCCCGCACAATCGCGGGGTTGGGGGGGAGATGGCCATGATCTTTGTTGTTCTTTGTCACTTTGCTTCTTCACGTTTTTCTGATTAAAAAAAGTAGTTGCAGAACAGATTCATCTTATTTACACTGAACCTTATGGGGAAATTTGACTTGGCTTATGACCAATTTGGGTCATGACCAGAGTCCTGGAACGGATTAAGTTTGTGAGTCAAGGAACCACTGTATAATTTCTTGGTTGCCCAAGAATCACTCAGTTTGAACTTGCACTACCTTGCTCACTGGCAGCAGCAGAGGATTCCTGATAAGCTATAGTACTTCGTCGTGGCCTCTGTGCATCACACATATGGCTGCTGCGCCTGTGCAGTGCCTATGGCCGGAAAGATTCAAAAGCTTAATGGTTTTGGCGGGAACTCCGCATCCCACCCCCATAGTATAAAAGGGCAGAGTGCCCGCCATTTCCTCAGTCTTCTTGTGACCGCTGTTCGCTGTGCCTCAAGCCTTTTGTCTCTCAGTTTGTACACGTTTACCAGTTGCTGTTATTTCTCTCTTAGTCATTCTGATTCCAAGTTTTTTCCTTCCCTGTTAGAAGTTTTCTTCTCAATTCCCCCTCCCCATTTTTTCCCTGTTTGAAAAAAAAAACCAAAAAATATTGTTCCTCTTGTCTTCGCTTTACTGTCTTCTCTTTTTCCTTGATGGCGCAGTGTGCAGCTTTCTGCAAGTGTTCACAGTGTGGCTCTAAAATGTCACCTACTGATCCACATGATCTGTGTCTTCTTTGTTTTGGAGAAGGGCACAGCACAGATAGATGTGACCATTGTCAGGTCTTTACTAAGCAGGTGAGAAAAAACTGAGAGAACTGCTTGCGTAAACTTCTGTGGGATCAAGCCCTGCTTCAGTCCGATCAGCTAGCGGGCAAGTCTGCGCCTCCATCTACTTCTTCCACCACTCCTCCACCACGCCTGTCGGCTGATGGTGCCCCTTTGCCAGAGGGTCAATGCTCCTCTGCATCTCCGCATAAGCAAAAGGAGAAGAGGAAGCATAGTGGCTCGGACAAGTCCTCAGGCCATAAAAAGCCTAAGAAGGACAAGGCGGATAAGTCGGCTTGCAAACTTAAGAAGCCTGACCATTCCAGGCACTGTGACTTGGGTTCGTCTGCTCCATCATTCCCGAAATTTCACAGCTGCCTCAGTACCGACCCCGACCGGACCGGCCCTCCAATTGGCCATGAAAGTGACCCCGCCTAGGTCTCCAAGATGGGTCACGCCATCCTTCCAGTCTTCTCCCAAATGCCGGGACATTCCCTTGTTGGGATCAATCTCCAACGGAGAAATTTGAGACTCTCTGCCAATGGCTCGCTCACCAACTCCCCAGCCGTCGCTTGAGCCTTCTCCGAGACCTGTTCCTCCGCAGGTGCGATGCCAACAGTGTGCCTCTGTCCAACCCTCGGAAGAATGGGTGCACCCGCCCTATAGGCCATCTCACCATGAGCCATGGGATGATTATCCACCTTACGGCTACTACCTGTCGGTGCGTGAGTGTGCCCTCTCTCCGGCTCCGAGGGACGCTCCTTTGACTTCCAGAGTGACTCAGTCCAGGTGTCCCACTTCACCTATTGATTCCTCCTCTAGTCTCCCACCCCACTACAACTCAGATTCAGAGGACTCTGAAGTGGCGTCTACATCACCAGACGCGGTGATCTCCACACAGGGCCCCAGCTCACTGGAGGAGCCCTATGTGAATTTTGGGGAGTTTATGGCGAGGCTTATGAGGTCACTCGAGATCGAGGCCCAGCACCATTTCGATCCTAACACAGTCAAGTTTTATAACATTATCAAGGGTGAACAGTCTGCCGCCATCATTTTGCCGCTGATCACTACCCTTCGCCAGGCAATGATGGAACCGTGGAGCTACCCTAACCAGCCTCAGCCTACTTCACACCGATATGAGTTTATGTATCGAGTCCGTGAGCAGGATATACCATTCCTCCTGCACCATCCCAGACCAAACTCAATTGTCGTTGAGTCCTCCCAAGGACGTGAGTTGAGGGGACACACTACTCCCCATGACAAAGAGGGTCGTAAGATCGACATGCTAGTTCGCCGGATCTATGCAGCTACAGGGCTTGGCCTCCATATTTCCAATTATGAGGCCACGCTGGCACGGTACCAATATTTTCTCATACAAAAATTGGAAAATATTACTGCCTCAATACCGGACCAGCAAAGAGACTTAGCCTGACTTTTCATCAAAGAGGCTATGCAGGTGGCAGTCCAGCAGCTCTCCATGGTGAGACACCATGTCGATTCCAACTCAAGGGCCCTTGTCAGCACCATAGCCCTCTGTCGTCATGTTTGGTTTTGAAATTGCAATTTTCTAGATGAGACGAAGCGTTGAATTGAGGACATGCCCTTTGATGGTTCCGGGCTCTTCAATGCCAGGACGGACCACAAGATGAAGACTATCCATGAGTTGAGGGTCACAGCTCGTCAGATGGAAGTTCCTAACCAGTTGCGCCGTAAGTGGTCTTGGTCTCGTCCGTCCTACAGATATCAACCCTATCCACAATTCGGGGGCCGTCAACAGTTCCAACCATGCCAACAGCATCGGAAGCAGCAGCAACAACGCTTCCAGCAGAACTGTCGTTGTCCCAACTCTGACAAGCGTCAGTGTTGACGGAATGAGCGAACCTCTCCTCTTCTCCTTAACTCACCTTTCCCTCTTCCTTTTGGGGATCAGCTGTAAAGTCAACTCCCCATTTGGGAGTCCATCACATCTGATCAGTGGGCTTTATCCATCATACAGCATGGATACAGAATTGAGTTTGATACTGTGCCCCCACCGGGACTGATCCGATTTACTCCTTGCTCGTTGGTCCTCGTCCACGAAGTTCAACAGCTTCTTTGTAAAGGAGTGATTCAACAGCTTACACACTCTGAGGGGCTCCACAGGTTCTACTCAAGATATTTCATGGTCCCCAAGCGGGATGGCGGTCTTCGTCCGATACTGGACTTACGTGGCATCAATAGGTTTATCAAAACCAAAAAGTTTCAGATGACCACCCTTCAAAATATCCTTCTGTTGCTTAGGAGAGAGGATTGGTTTGCTTCTCTGGACTTGAAAGATTCCTATTTTCACATTGCCATTCACCTGTCCCACAGACGTCTTCTGCGATTCACTGTTGGTTCCAAACTGTTCGAGTTTAACGCCCTTCCGGTTGGACTGGGTTTTTACGAAATGTATGGCCCCAGTATGTGCGCATCTTTAGCTCCAAGGCATTCAAGTGTACCCCTACCTGGATGACTGGCTAATTGTCTCCCAATCTAAGGAAGGCCTTTGGTCATCAATTCAAACTATTTGTTCCCTCCTGCACAGTTTGGGACAATGTATTAATCATGAGAAATCGAGCCATACTCCTTCACAGGTCATTGACTTCATTGGAGCCCATCTCGATTCCACACTGACGAGAGCCTTCCTCCCACAAACTCGACAGGACACTCTCTGTTCATCGATCTGTCGAATCCACATAGACAGGACTGTTCTGGCACTCTTGGTGCAGAAACTTCTTGGCCACATGGCCTCTACAGTATCCACAGTTCCCCACACCAGACTACAGATGAGACCACTCCAGTTGTGGTTCAACGCACTGTTTCAACCTCAGCGAGACTCGCCTCACCATCTTCTCTGCCTTCTGTCCTCTGTCCTCAAGACCCTTTCATGGTGGACCATGCGGCACAATCTGTCTCTGGGCATCCCGTTTCGCCCGCCTCACCTGACCTTGACTCTCTTTACCGATGCCTCCCCTACCGGGTGGGGAGCTCTGTGTGCCGGTCTCCGTACACAGCGCACCTGGGACCGTCAGGAATCCACCAGACATATAAATTACCTCAAACTCCTAGCAGTTTTCAATGCCCTTTGATTGTTTGAGGACACTCTTTGGCGACACGTTGTCCAAATTGCCTCCGACAACGTTGTCACTGTATTCTATATAAACAAGCAAGGCGGGACGAAGTCTGTCCCCCTGGCCTGCTTGGCGATGCAACTGTGGGACTGGTGCATCCTCAGGGAAATTACCCTCCTCGCGGTTCACCTGGCTGGTACTGACAACGAGGAGGCTGATGTCCTTAGCAGGCAGATGTCGACGACCCATGAATGGGAACTGGATCGTTCAACCTGCCATCGCCTCTTCTGGACTTAAGGCTCTCCGGACATAGACTTGTTCGCCATCCACACGAACAAGGTGTACGAGATGTTCTGCTCTTGTGCCGGCATTGGCCCAGGATCGACGGGGATGCGCTCATGATCTCATGGACAAACGTGTTCTTTTATGCATTTCCCCCGATTCCGCTCATTATGAGGGTCCTAGCCAAGATTGTCTATGACTGTGCCACAGGAATCCTGATCACCCCCTGGTGGCCCCATCAACCATAGTTCCCTACCCTTCTCCACCTGTCTGGCAGCACCTTTCTCCGCCTGCCTCTCATACCTTATAACTCAGCAGCGTGGAGCTGTTCGCCACCTGGATCTCCCTTCACTCAACCTCCCAGCCTGGGTCATTCGATGATCCACGGGGATACTTCAGTACCGGTGAATCCTGGGACTTCTGTACCTGCCCGACACCGTCCCGATGCAGCAGCTTCTTCTTCGCTACCGATAGGCTCCTCATCAAACCCAAGCACTCTCCATCCTGATATCCAGTTCATTCTTCAGTCTGCCCTAAGACCTGCAACTCACCAGTCTTATGCGGCTAAATGGAAGTGCTTCGCATCCTTCTCTGAATCCAACAGTTTTGTTGTCTCTTCGGCCTCTGTTGAAAATATCCTTCAATTTCTCTTATAACTCTATCAGTCGGGACTTAAACCATCTTTCATTAAAGTTTATGCATCTGTGATCTCCCACTTTTGGGGGCAGGTGCAGGGATCTTCGGTCTTCTCTCATACCCTCATACTACGATTCCTCAAAGGTCTGCAGAATCTCCAGCCACCAATTCGACCAGTTATCCCTACATGGAGCTTTTCAGTTGTCTTACAGGCACTTACTCGACCTCGTTTCGAACCCCTGGCAACTACTGACTTACGTCTACTTTCTTGGAAAACTGCCTTTCTGGTCGCAGTCACATCTGCCAGAAGGGCTAGTGAACTTTGCGCACTGCGGATAGATCCGCCTTACCTTAACTTTCATAAGGAGAAAGTCGTTCTCTGTACCGATCCAGTGTTCTTATGAAAAGTCATGTCTCCCTTTCATATTAACCGGGAGATTGTGTTACCTGCCTTTTTCCCTTCACCTACTACACCAATAGAATCATTGCATGCTCTTGACAATCGTCATTGCCTTACCTTTTACAGGTCTTGCACGGAGTCCCTTCGCAAATCTAACTGCCTCTTTCTTAAATACTCGGGCTGTGATAAGGGTTCTCCTGTTGGTTCGCAGAGACTTTCAAAGTGGATCATGCAGACCATCGAGCTAGCTTACCAGCTCGCCAAACTTGACTTACCTGTCATGCCCAGAGGGCATTCCACAAGGACGGTAGCTGCCTCCTCTGCTTTCACCTCTGGCATTCCAATCCAGGACATTTGCAAGGCTGCCACTTGGACTGCTCCTTGCACCTTTGCCAGGTATTACCGCCTTGATGTGCGTGTTAGACATGATTGCTCCTTTGGCCGGGCAATCCTTTCTTCTGTTCTTCATTAGCGACACTGCCCGCCTCCGGGCCTGGGAAGCTTGTTGATCACCCATATGTGTGATGCACAGAGGCCATGACGAAGAAAGGCAGGTTGCTCACCTGTAACTGTCGTCCTTCGAGTGGCCATCTGTGCAGTCACACAACCCACCCGCCGGCCCCGCTCGGTGTTGGCGAATGGGTTTATATTGTACCAATTTTTTCTTCTCCTCGATAATGGTTCAAAAAAAATTTTTTTGGGTCCGACAGTTCACTGTTATATCACTCGCTTCTGCGAGGGGGCGAATGGTCAGTCTCCAGTTGACTGAGGAAATGGCAGGCACTCCGCCCTTTTATACCATGCGGGGGGGGGGATGCGGAGTTCCTGCCAAAACCGTTAAGCTTTTGAATCTTTCTGGCCATAGGCACTGCGCAGGTGCATTACCCATATGTGTGACTGCACAGATGGCCACTCGAAGAACGACAGTTACAGGTGAGCAACCTGCCTAGTTTAAACACTTATTTAAGGTTACTTGATGTCCCTACACAAGTATAATTTACAACATTTTTGCTGCTGTTGCAGAGAAGGTATGTTTAATTACAAAGTGTCTTGAGAAATTCCTTTTAAACTCATTCCTTATTGAAAAAACCGATTCTTTGTTCACAAAGAATGTTAAACTGCAAGTAAGCTCTTTGACTTCCTTTGTGTTTCATGTAGCCTAGCAGGGACCCATCATCACATCCGTGTAAGTTCTCAGTCAATCCAAAGAGAACTCAGTTTTGCTGTTAGATGCCATGCCAAGTAAAGATATATATTTAAAGTGATACAAGTTACTGTGGCAAACATTAGCAGCATGTGCCCACGAAAACAATGGCTGTATATCAAAAGATTAAATGCAAGCATTGAAGCAAATATTGGCTACTTGCAATTCATGTTACTTGCACAACATAAACTTAGGAGATAATCTTCTTAGAGGTATCTGGACCCTTTTAAGCTAGAGACTCTGAAAAGGACTCCAGGATAGACTCTGTTTTCATTCTTTGAAGCAGCTGGTAGCAACTTTAGTTGCCGAGAGAAAAAAGTGTGTCTACCAGGGAAAGAGCTTCAAGGCTCCAATCATGGCTCAAGGTCATTGTTGTGTCCAACAGGCTGGACCTTTGCTTGGTCTCTTTGCCTCTTTCTGCTACCACCTTTGCTGTTGATACAGAACCATTTTATCTCTCTTGGAAATACCACTGGGCAGTGTTCCCCCAGGACCGTCTTAACAGCATTATGGGCCCCGGGCAATGCAGTGTACTGGGGCCCCTACGACAACTACAACTAATGTTAATTTTGGAAGTTTTCCAATTTTGCAAGGGTTAACATACACAGATTAGTATGGGGCCCATGGGCAAGTGCCCATCAGGCCCATGCGTTAAGATGGCCCTGTGTTCCCCATCTTGGCCATGGCAGTTAGCTTTAGCAATTCATTAATGAGCCCAGCCATGTGACCACCTGAGATGCTGGTTTCTGTTGGGTGGAACAGGTTGGCAATCTCAGGAACATCTCAGAGTCATCTTTCTCAGCAGACAACATAATCTGAAGGGACAACACTAAAGGGGTTCTTATGCTGTTACTGCTTCATAATAAAACTAACCATCATAATCATAAGTTATTTTGGAAAATGTGCTCCCTCCATTTTGAAAGGACATTGGACATTTCAAAATGCCTTTACTATTTATTTGTTTAAATATCTAAGACTTGCTTCTTCTGTATGTGCAGAAGCTTGCAACAATATATAACCACCAATTACAAGTGGAACCATGTTTATTATTTGCAAGCCTATCAAGAACAACTGAAAACATGACAAACAAGATGTTCTTAAATAGAAATGATTGTATTTATAAAAAAAGATGTGCCATATATAAATATAACCGTTTCATTTTTAAAAACTTTCTACAGAATTTCAGAAATGTGCTTGTGCAGATCTGTGTTAATATTCACAAAAATGTATCCGTCATAATTGAAAAGTACTTGAAGGAAACGAAAAGGCACTACTACATTACTCCCAATAGTTACTTGCAGTTCATAAACACTTTTTCAACCATATTAAAGTCAACAAAAGAGAAGAATCTGAGCAACAGGTAAGAAAATACACACACACACACACACACACACACACAAAACAAACAAACAAACATATAACACACAAACTACTGAATTTTTGTTAACTTCGACATTTTGGTGGCTGTTGACCAGAAGATAGATTTCTGCGAAATCATGCCTTTTTATTTCTAAGGCTAGGCACATTAAAATTCCTGTTTGAGTTATATTGCTAATAACATTCCTTTTCCATTTATATTGTTAATAAAGCCATGTCTTATATTTAGTGGCCGGAAAATTTTACCACGTGCTCCATAGCAATTGTAGCTGAAATAAAGCAGCAGAGCCTTCCTACACTTTTATATGCAGCACCAAATCCTGGAATTCCTCAGTATGGGATATTTCTGGGAGAGGAACCCCTATAGAGAGTCAGACCTTAAACTCTGTCTAGACTAGCTGATTTCCTAGCCCATATTTCTGTCTTATCCCTGGTTTAAGGTCTTGGGTTTCAACTGCCTCCCTCATATTTGGTAGTAGAAGAGAGGAAGAGCTGCATAGCATTTCTACCCAAAGCTCTAGCTGCTTCCTCTTAGAAGTTTCATGTACATTGGGTTTAATGTAAATTGTTACAATTTATGGGGAACAAGAGAAAATCTTGAGGAAATGTGGTCCTCAATAGAAAAAAATGTTGCCTACCTCAATCAGTATCATCCAAAACTGCCTTGTGCTGACATGACACTGCCCATTCCAAGACCTTACTTAGAAATACTTCATTAGATGATTGACCATAGTCAGGAATCTAGATCTAGCTTCTTCAATAGTGGTTTCACTACTGCGTCCTGATATGATTTTGCAAGTCTAGCCTGAGCAGGTCTCATTAGTCAGGAGGGGCAAAGATCTAAAAAGGAGGTGGTAGGCTTAGCAAGCAACTTATCCATGTCCTTACAGAAGGTGAAAAATGCCAATAGATAGTGCATTCGCTATACCTCTCTCCAGTCAAACTGTAGCATTTAAGTTAACTGGATGTGAACAAGTGAAATGGTCTCTCATGTTGCTGTTACTAACTGAGCAGGTTCATACCAAGACAGCCAGTTTTTCAGATAGTCAGACTTTAATTATTTAAAGTTTGAAAAGTTAAAACTGACATCTTGAATTGAGCCCACAAATCAGTTGTCAGCTAGTGTGGTTCTTTCAGTATTGGAATGATATGATCATGGTACCATGCAATAGCTGCCTAGCTATTGCAAATTTTGTGCCAGATGGAACTTCCAGATGCTGTTCAAGGATAGCCCTATAGAAATGCATTGCAATTAACTATAACATAACCAAGGTACAAGTGGTTGTTGCCAGATGAGACTGACTCAAGAATGGCTGCATTTGGCACACCACAAGTAATTGTGTGAACAGATTTCTCATTATTACTGCCTTATGAAAATCCAGTGATGGTGTAGGAACCTGAATCATCCCAAGTCTTTCTGAGAAAGATCTCATCCAGAACAATTTGAATACACAGGCTAGGCAACAGTATCTCTGTCTTCTCTGAAATTAATCTCAGCTTGTTGACCCTCATCCAGCCAACAATTGGACTTAGGCAATACTCAGGCAGTATCAACTGCTTCTGTAGAATTGGACAACAAAGAGTAATTGAATTGAATGCCAGCATACTCTTAGAATCTCACGCCAAAGTTCTGGAAGACCTCTTCCAGCCTATGATGCTCCTAGATCCTACACTATTACTGGATTTTCAAAAGGCAGTGTTGCTGAAGAGTCTGCACGTAGCCCAATCCTGAGGGTCTTTGAAGCTTGGACATTTAATGTTTCCATAAATGTTGTGCTTAGCTGGCTGTCAGTGTGAGGTAGCCTGCTTACCTCAATGACCTAATATTGAGGTAATATTGACCTAATATATTATATATTAAATGACCTAATATAATATTTGACTAACTTATGTAACAGAGAAGTCCATTCTCTATTTAGATTCAATTTCTTTTTAACTTGTAGAGCTTGCTATAATTCTGGACTGACCAAAATCCTGGAAGCAACCTCACAGATTACAGACATGCAAGATGAGTTATTTGTCCTTGGTCCTCAGATAGAGAAAAAATCAAAGGTATGTTTTAATTTAGAATTGTATTTTCCCTTTCAAACTATGAAGTATCTCCTATCAGGATTTAGGTCAGAATTTAAGCTACATTTTATATAGATTATGAGTATGGTCATTGAAACTTATAATTGGAGGAGTCTAAACTGCATAAATGGGAAAGAAAAATTAGAGTAAATTTTAGAGCATAAGAGAAATCTCATTTAAAAAGCTTTGTTTGATGTATTATCACTATGAGAAAGATATATTCAGTTTTAAGAATTATAAGGAAAAGGGATAAATACAGCAGGTGGCGTAATGTCATGTTATAAATAACCAAGAAATGGAATACTATGAATTGTTCTAGTTGCTCAGTTTCTAAAATAAGATGATACAGGGATGTGAAGAACAGCTAAAGTGCCGGGATTGTTGGAATATCTTTCTTATAAAGAGGAACCAATGCCTGGGGTTAAGGCTCCCCAAACAAGGTATTGGAACCCATGGTCCCATCACATCTTTGGTCATCCAAGGCCCTTTCCATCCTTAGCATCTGCAAAGAAGATTGAATGTGGTGTTGGAGGCCTTGGCAGAGCAGTGCAAGGGTGCCTATCCAGGGTCCTGACTTTTTAAGTATTTGCTGTTTTGCAGATACGGATGAAGCTTTCGCATTTACTGCTTCACTATTTAGATGCTGAGTTTAGCATAGACACTTAATAAAGCAACAACTCCTGAATAGTATGAGTGGGAGATGTCCCTGATGGCTGCTTTGCTGGATTTGCAGTGAGGTCAAGGCAGTGATGGACATCATTCCTCACTTCACACACTCAGCATTATGCTGAAACAGGACTTTGTTAGCCACAGATTTAGGGGAGACAAGGGGAAGTATTTCTTCACACAATACAAAATTGTTGTTGTTGTTAGTTGTGAAGTCGCCACAAAATTTAGTGAGAGCCATGAGCTTGGTGGTGTTTGAAAAATATTTTTACAATTCATGCATGATGGATGTATTAAATGGCAACTGAAAGGTAATATATGCCCTTGATTACCAGATCCTGGGACAGATAACAGGAGATGGATGTTTCCATCATGCCACGCGTATACATTTTCTAAGTGTGCATGGCTCTTTACAGTTGGAGTCAAAGTTGCAGGATACAAGGTTCTCTTGGTCTGATTCAGCAAGGTAGCCCTCATGTGCTTACTGTGCATGTAATGGGCTTGCTATTTGATATGTAAGCCATTTGTTCTGTTTCTAGAAAGCTAGGGGTTGGATCCAAGGTCTGCATTCTGTGAATGGAAGGACCCACTCATGGAAGTTTCCTACACTTGTTTTTCAGGTTTTGCTTTATGGCAGCACATCCATTCAACAGCGTCCCTAACAATCTGTGTAGGATTTTCAGGAGGCAGGAGGAACTAGCATGGGGGAAAAGGGCCTGGAAGATCCTAAATGTGGATCCATCCCTAGATCAATTATTGTTTCAGAACCTCTATGATAAAAATATTGGACTAACAAGACCTTTTTCCCACCAGGAAATAGAGGAACTTGTGGAAAGGCTTCACAAAGATGCATTAGTAGTAGAACAAGTTCGAACTATTGTTAAGCAGGATGAAGAAACCATGGCTGCAGAAACACGCATTGTGGAAGAGTATGCCGAGGTATATCATATTTCCTTCCGTTTAAATTGTAACTTGCTGGATATTTGCATCTTCTTTGCAACATGAACAGCTCACTGAGACCACTAATCAAATGCTAATACTCCTGCAGGATAGGGGATGAATAGAGTCTCTTCTATAAAGTAGCTGGTGTGGTGTCCGAGAGATATGATTTTTTATCCATCCTGAGTTATGATCTTCCCCTGCAGGTTCTGTGTAGTTGGGGATGTGTGCTCAAGCTGCAGACGACTGGAAACAAACATTCTAAAACTCTTGTTTTTCTGAACACAAGTCAGAGTGTTTTGCACCCCATAGAAAAGGAAAAAAAGGTTCATAAAGAAGAAAAGCATCCTATAGTACAGAAAGGGTTATTTGTTCAAATATATCTTGTTACCCTAAGAATCAGCCTCTAGCTTTTCTTATCATATTTTAATTTATATAGCAAGTGACAGAAGAACTTAATGCTGTGTTGCCATCTTTGGAGAAAGCCCTCGCTGCTCTTGATGCACTCGATAAGAATCATATTGCAGAAATTAGGTAAGTATATTGCTGCTGTTGCTTGGTTGCAATTCAAATCAGCCTACAGTTCTCAGTTAATATTATGTATAACACAAATATCCTCATTTTTCAGTTTTACACATTCTGACAATTTAAGAACACTGCATTTCAAAGCACTTTCCTATTTATCTCCATTATGGTAATTTGCAGTGCAATTCTATGGCCACTAAACAGCATCTAGACTACCATAAGATTTTTCAGAGACCCAGCTATGCAGTTTGAACACTCTCAAGTACAGTTCAGTCTCCTAGTAGTACCTTAGCTTTCCTTCGCACTCAGATAGCCGCCTTCTAAATGTTTTGCTCATCAGGAGGAGCACTGGAGCAGCCTTCCCCTCTGCATTCCTCCTACCCTGCATAGGAGAATTGCAGGCTTCTGGATTCAGTTGCACCTCAATGTTAGTTTGTTGGGGTTTGTTTTATTTTTTTATCTGTAAAGGCTTTTGAAGAAAGGGAAGCAAATGGTGCTCTCACCAAAGTTCAAAGTGACTTGGTTGTGTAAACAGATTCGTGTTTTTTCGCACAGCTTGATTTTGTCATGAACAGGCAGCTAGCATGACAGCAACATATCTTGCATGCAATTCAAAAGGTACTGGGCATGATCAAAAGCCTTGTGTATATGGCATCTGTCTGTTCCCCCAGTTTGGCCTTTCCAACTTTACTGTTCTATGATTCTGGAATTACTTGGACACTTTTAGGTAGAATATTTACTTTGTGTCAAGGACATTAATTCAGTACACACAACTTTTGCAAGCTATATCTGCACTGTTAGTTCATTGCTGGTTTCTTCCAATCCACAGCAAAGACTGATATATTGACAGGAGCTGTTCATTAGACACCATTAACAGAATGGGTTCCTTCCAAACTGTCATACAGTTTCACATTATACGCCTACACAGGACTTGCACATATATATTTCAGCTATTTACACTAAAGTACAAACTTCTCCTGATTCACCAGGCTACAAATATACATTTCATCCATCAGTCTAATGTGGCCTATCTGTTAACAATCACTTTTGGATCACTGCAATCAATGCCGTTGAACCACGCTGGAATAATAGACCATGTGGTCTTCTAGGGACACAAAAATTGTATTGGATAATGTTGCCACATTGTGACAAAAGTTGTTGGGGTGATCTCTTACAAAAATGGTGTTGAATTTTGCACATTTGCACATTTCATTTTTTTCTTTGTATCATACAGAGTATATACTCGCCCTCCTCCACTGGTACTAACTGTTATGAATGCAGTTTGTGTTCTTCTTCAAAAGAAACCTAATTGGACAACAGCAAAATTACTACTTGCAGACCCTGGCTTCCTAAAGAGGTTGGTTACCCTTGACAAAGATAACCTACCAGAAAAGGTAATGGAAACATAGATGCCCAGTAGATTTGAATTTGTTTCTTCTTTTGTATATGCAGGAAAAGTGAGCTTATCTCTGGAACATAGCATAATTTTTATCCAGAGATCTGATATTGTGCAGCTCTTATTTTCCTCTTGAAATGTAAAACGTATATGAAAAGAAATGGTTTGGCTGTCCCATGTGGTTGAATTGTTAACAGCAGAAATAGAATATTCCTTAGTCTGGTTTTGTTTTTAAAAATTGACTTGGAGAAAGGCACTCATTTTTAAGCCCTTTAGTATTTTATGCTACAAATTATAGGATACTACTACTCTGTGTCCTATGTCCTATATTCATAAAGACACAAAAGCAGCCACCTAATGGCCCAGTTCACATATACTGTAGCAAAAAGACATTATGGCTGCATTTTCTTGTTGGGTTTCTTGTTGTGGCAGCTACCACCTTTTTCAATACTGAGGTGCAGTAAGAATGAACCATAGCTTATTGTTTATATGAACCTGGGGCTGTTTGGGTGGTTTACAGACTAGTCAGAATTCATGGACTGTTTTAAGTTGTGGGTGCTCAGACCATAGTATTCTCATAGCCAGACTGGTTTCCTACTTTAGTTACAGATTTCTACCCAGTTCATCATAAACTTAAATGTCTACCAGAAAGATTGCCTTGTCCCATGTGAACCTGCCTGTAGATTATTAACATTATTAGAGGCCTTTGTTTTGTCTCATCAGTTGAAGTGGTTGAGGGCCATTTCTGTGGCAGCATCTGAGTTGTGGAATTCCCTCTCAAAGAAGTTAGGCTAACCTCATCCCTGATGGCCTTCAAACAAGCAGTAAAAATGTCTATATGTATGGCTTTCAGTGAAGTTTAATTAAAATATCCTTTGGTGCTGCTTACAGATGTACCCTTCTGCATATGAGTCTTGATTCAGGGAATAGTAGAACTTTTGCAGCCTAGATGTTCTTGCTTATGGTAATGTGCAAGCGAGGCAAAACTAGGTACATGTTAGCCTGTTATTAAAGGTCGGATCCAGGATCTGTCTTCTGTGGGCAGAAAGGTGCTTTTCACAGAGGGTTTTCCCCTCAGTTTTGGGGATCTCCCATCTGTATGACTGATCCCCCCATCCATCAAGGCCCCCGATTCTCCACGTAACATTTTCAGAAGGCTGGAGGGGCTGCTGTGGAGAGGAGGGTGCTGACAAGTCCATTGAATCCAAATGCACATGCCTGCATTTGGATTCAATGCATAGTTAATACATAGATGGTTCTGACTTCATTTTAAAAGCATGTATGTATAACAATTATCTCCTGCTCACACATGGGGATCCTGCCAGTCTCCAACCCAAGTAAGCTTGGCTAAGTTTGAATCTAGAAAGACTTACATGTGAATAAACATCCTTCAAATTGCACTGCGAAAACCGAATAAACACCATCATATTGTTAAAAGCTGCCTCAAAGTGCCACTGCTTCAAATAGAGCTTTATTGGCCATTAAAGAGATTGAGGAATGTCTTTGTTGGTATGTAAGATGTAAGATTGTTTTAAGTGATTGCTTTTCATAACTGTTTTGTGTTCTTTTTAGGTTTTTTTGCAGTTGAAAAAATATATAAAATCACCTGACTTCAGCCCAGTAAAAGTAGGGCTTGTGTCTATTGCCTGCTGCTCCATGTGTCAGTGGATTTTAGCTTTAGATCACTATCACATTGTCAAAAAGGTACATTCAATCTGCGGTTTCTGACGACTTAAATATTTTCCTCAAAAAAAAAAAAAGAAAGAAAGAAAGAAAAGAAAACAAAAGGAAAGGAAAGAAAGAAAGAAAGAAAGAAAAGAAAAAAGCTGTTGCAGGATCGCATTTCATGATACGAGATATTCTAAATAATTCTGGAATATGTGCTCCGTTTTACCAATGCATTTAAAAGGAGAGGACTTTAAAAGCAAGATTATAGGAATACCTTTGCTTGTTTGCATGCACTCACTCACTGGACTTTAGAAATGGAGAAGGATTGGATTGGTCCTGCATGATTTTGCAAACATTAAGAAAGGTTCTTGAATTTTCTTCCTAGCTGCCTAGGAAGGCTTCAGCAGTTACAAGTGGCCTATAGATGCATGTACCATCATCATCATCATCATCATCGTGCAGCTCTAACTCTTCAGTGTTGCTTATTATATATATATAATTTTTGAGCATAATCACCTAGTAACCCTGAAAAGATAGCAGTGATTAAATTAACCCATTTAATTGTCCCTGCCTTCCAAATCACCAAAAGAAGTATGCTTTACCATTTTCAAAGAGGCAATCAGAGGATCCATCACATCATGGCTTTCTCATCCTGTGACACTTCCTGCAGTGTATTCAAAGACTTTGATGAGCTTCATTTTGAAGCCTAATACATCTCTAACCTGCATGCCATACTTTCTTATTGATCTTCAGTTCCAGATGCACATCAGTGTGAAACATCTGGAGCTTGATAGCATTCTGTTCTTCATACTGTACAGAAAACCATCATTTTGCTCATAAGAAATAACGCCACAGTTCCCTCCCATGAGAAATAGCCTCCATATTCTCAACTCTAGGTACTAATTAGGAAGCCAAGTCCATGGTGTTAGACAAACGGATCTGTCTCCTGCTCAGAAGCACTCTAGCAAGCAAGAGCCACATTTCTGGCTTATCTACCAAAAGCACTGATTGTGCCCTCATCATTCCCTATTAATGGCTATTTATAGATTGTTCAGGCAATGTTGTGACCTCAGTCTCACTTCTGTATCAACCTAGCATTTTTGCAAAGTATTTTTAAAGCAGGGAAAATGTAGTGTTTAATTATGAAAGCAAAAGAAAGTGCGATTTTCTTTTGTGTATTTATGCTGTTCTTCCATACCATGCTGCCACCTAGAGTTAGTAGAAAAGCAAAAAAGGAAATGCTGCTCCTATAGCATTCAGATTCCAGTTCTGTGACAAAACTAAAAGTAGATAGTATTGATTAAGAAGTAATAAACAGCTTTGTATTGAAAACCACTTCACTGCATAATACATACTTAGCCTCAGGGTTTGTCTAGCCCTGTGCAAATAAAGTATGTATTGGCACATTATATCACAGCTTCTGTTTAATTGTTGTTACTTGATGTCAAGTTATGTTCATCTTATGGTGACCCTATGAATGAAGACCCTCCAAAATGGTTATCTAAAGGATAACCATTTCTCCTCCTCCTGTATACAGCTGCCTGGTCCTTAAGATCTTCTGCACAAGTCCTTCTCTGAGAGACCTCCTTGAAGTAGGTGAGGAGGTCTGTTGCAAGAAGGACCTTTTCAGTGGTGGCACCTTGATTGTGGAATACATTCCCCAGAGAGGTTCATCTGGCTCCAGTGCTTTATTCTTTCCAGTTCCAGACCAAGACCTTTTTACTTAACCAGTATTTTAATTATTTGTTTATTTATTTATTTTTTGATTTATATCCAGCCTTTTTCCCACAAAGGGCTCAAGGCAGCTTGCATCATTCTCCTCCTCCATCTTATCCCCACAACAACCCTGTGAGGTAGGTTGGGCTGAGAGTCTGTGACTTGCCCAAAGTGACCCAGTTGGCTCCATGGCTGAGCGGGGACTAGAACCCAGATCGTCTGAGTCCCAGTCCCATGCTCTTAACCACTATACCACACTGGCTCTCCATAATGGTGTGTGTGATTTAACTCTATTTTAATAAACTACTGTTAATTGTTCTGATATGTTTATTGTTGTAAGCTGTCTACAGGTTTCTTTGGAAATATAGAAGGTATAGATTTTTTTAAAATAAATAAAATGTCTTGTTCTTGACAGCCATGCTCAGCTCTTGCAAACTATACAACTTCTTAGAAAAGGACCACACTATAATTTATTCCTAAAATAACATTGCCACAAAAATGGCATCCCCTCAATGAGCTTTCCCAGTAGATATATTTATCCTAGCTGTGCTTTCATCATATGGAGCATTTCTCCAGTGATGTGATGCATCTGAAGCTGGTGGTAGGGTAGGAGAACATACTATGTAAGGATGTTGCAGTATGGGTGTGCCAAAAGAAGAACTTGAAACAGAGGTGCACCTTTCAGCAAAACCTGCACAGGCATACAGTTTGTCAGAGGGTTTGAACATATGTATATTATCTGTGTAAATGCATATTTATTTATGCATGTCCACCAGGAGCTCAGTATAACCATTCCCCCTTTTTTCTTGTTATCTAGTTTGTAGATCCGAAACAAGCAAAGGTATCAGAAGCAGAGGAGCTACTAAAACTTGCACATGAAAAACTGGCTGAAAAACAAAGGAGTTTAGTTCTGGTAAAATAATTACATTTGTCTTGTGCCAAAGCAATTTATTTCAATTGTTAAATAATATAAATTTAACCATTTTTTTCAAACGTTATTTTTCTTCTTCTTCTTCTTATTATTATTATTATCATCATCATCATCATCATCATCATCATCATCATCAGAACATTTCTATGCCGCCCCTTGCCGAAGCCTCGGGGCAGCTTACAACACAATAAAATACAATACAATATAAAAATAACAATATAAAATTAAAATTAATAATATAAAATAAATAAAAAATATAAATGATATAAGAGAAGTTATAAAAGAAAAGTTATAAAAGAAAAGAAAAGAAGTTTTATTCAAACGTTGTTTTAATTGTTAATGTTATTTATTGATTTTAAATTGCCAGGATATCTCCACCATTTTTATGTATTTTATGTATTTATATATTGGTGTTTTTTATGATTGGAAGCCGCCCCAAGGCTCATGCGAAGGGGGCGGCATATAAGTTGTTTAAATAAATAAATAAATATAAAATGTACATCGATCTATATTATTATACTATAAAGATCTTAGTAAAAAGACAGCCTATTTTGTCAAGCTATCCTTGAGTAGCTTAACAAGTTTGCATGTCATGCTAAACCACCCCACAAATAATCCACAATGGGTTGTTTTTTCACTGAACAATCCTGAGAAACAGTCACACTCACCATGGCTTCCCCTCCTCCAACTTGCCCCCCCCCCCCGGTCCTCTAGCCAATATCCCACCATCCTTCATTGCAGAGACCATCTTGCCTCCCCCTCCCCACTCTGATAGCTACCCCTTTTTGTTCACTGCTGCTTAAAAAGGGAGCCTCAAAAAAGAGGGGAAAAAAACAAACCCAACTTTTCCAGCCCATAAATGTTGTATATTTTTTAAAAAATATTTTTGTTATTTGGTCTCTCACAAATGTGCAATTAGGCTATTTAATATGTGTGGTCTTTTCCCTTGTTCTTTTCAAGGTCAGTTCCTTTCCTGGTCAATTTCCTTGTTGCTTTCAGCTGTCATAAGGAGGGGAGCATGAGAGTGCATATACGCTAATTTGTGTACAGTTTGGGGAAGCAATGTGCCCAAGACTCAAGAGGACATGGCTCCTGCCATCCTACTCATTTCTTTTTTAATCACTGCAGCAGAAAGATTATGATTTTGTCATCCAGCACCTAGCTACAAATTTTACTATTTGGACACTGCTCAAGAGCAGCCCCACAGAATCCCCACTTTGTCCTGCAAAGGAAATTTGATCCTACTGCAGCAGGCTTCCTCCAGTTTGCCAAGTTTAAGAATGTAAGAGGAGCCTATTTGATCAGGCCAATGCTCCATCTAGCCTGGCATCCTCTTTCCCGCAGTGGCCAGCCGGATACCTCCATAAGCCCACAGTGCTAGAGCTATTCCCCATTCTTGCTCCCCAGTGGCAGCAATTATGAGGAAAGGTAGTCCTGCTCCTGAGGAAGCATATAAGCATCATAACAAGGGACCATTGATAGATTTATCTTGCTTGAATTAAGCTAATCTCCTTTAAAGGTCCTCTAATTTGGTGGTCATGGACACATCATATCATTGTTGTCTGCAATGTTCCAATTGCCATTACAAGACAGGGGATGCCCCCAAGTGTCAACTCCCAACCTATCATGCTTTAAGAGACTACGCCATTACTACGAATTTTCCCACTATCCCCAGCCAGATTAGTGTGTTTTCCCCCTTATACAGCATTTTCTTCTTGTTTAGAGGAGGGTATCAAAACCCTCTACTGAAAGGAAGTCATACCCCATGTCCTGGGTGAATGTCACCTCTATTCACAGCCCCCAAAAGAGACAGAGGCCTTTAGCCAACTTCTGGACCTTAAGGATGGTAACATCAAACAATATCCTTCTACCTGTTCACAACAGGGCTTGATTTGCAACAGCAAACTGAAAGCATACTTACTGTCACATAGCTACATGGCTCCAACATCACCATTCCCTTTATTCACTTTATTCTGGAGAACCATTGTTTCTGCTTCCAAGTCCTTGCATCTGGACTTGCTGGAGCTCCCAGAGCATGCACAAAGTGCATGGCCATCATTGCTATACACATCCACCAGCACTGCATTTTTAGTCTTCACACAGATTGACAACTAGTTATCACATGCATGTAACACCAACAGATCAAGTCATATTTACCTTTTCCATCCTCACCATGCTGGCCCTCTGTGTCAATGTGTCAAACTCTCAGTGGATAACAGTTCCTTGGTACTCTTCATGTCTCTGTGGGTATCTGTCCTCCAGCAGAGCTTGAACTTTTTATTGCATCCTTCTTCCCCACCAGAGGTATTATGTTTCTCCTGGTCTTGCTCTTGTGCTTTCTTACCTCGCCTTCAGGACAGCTATATCACCAAAAGCCTTTCACCTCACTCTAGAAAGCCCAAACGGTGCTTTGGGGAGGTGCAGAATTCACAGATGATCACTACAGCTAAGCAGCTTTTTTACGCATGAACCAAATGAGTGCATACAGAGTTTCCATGGTATACTAGTATTTAAGCCAAGTTGGTGTGATCCTGTCTAGTGTCTGGACAGGAACTTCCTAGGCACCTAACATAAGCTCCTAAGTTTCTAAAGAACAAGCTACATATGCCTATGGTGAGTAGCAATGTAGGTTGCTACAGTGTGCTTTTTAATTAGAAACCTGACATTTCTTTGCAATTTCTAACTTTTCAGATTGAACAACATCAGCAAAATTTAGAAGCAATGTATGCTGAAAGCATTGCTGAGCAAGAAAAACTCGCAGCTCGAAAAGATCAAACAACTCGCCGTTTACACAGCGCATCTGTATTAAGCACAGCTCTGAAGGATGAAACGGTATTTCCCTTTCCATTCTAGTACATGATGCTAATTTATTTATGTATTTATTTAAAACTTTTGTTTGACATTCCTTATGCATGGCATCTCAGGACGGCTTACAATCATTAAAACAACCACAATAAAACAATAAATAACAATTAACCAAAAATACAAATTAAATAAGTTAAATAAAAGTGACTGTTAAACATTAAAATTTAAATTAATTTTTAAAATAACAGTTAAATAAAAAGGTTTTAACCTGGTCCCCAAAAGAATATAAACTCTTTATATAAATATAAATTATATTTATAAATATAATTGCACCTAATTGGAATAAACCTTCCTTTTTAAAAGGTGTTAACCTCTTCTGATGGGGTGTCTTTCCCATATCATATAATGTACTCTACAGTTTCAGTTTGCTGTTTTTCATAAGTAAATTCAATTTTCCATACTATGCTTGGATAGTGATCTTAATGTTGGTGTACATACTCTGTGCAACTATTCAGTGCCTATGCAAGATGAATACTGGGGAAATTTACCTAGTGGCAACGAGCTGTGATGGGTAAGCAGTCACTTGAAGGATTATCTGTAAGATTTTGCCCAGTGGTAAAGACAGGTTTACCATTCCCTTGACTCTCCAGACGTTCTTCCTCCTGTGTAGTTAACATCTACTCACCAATCAGGAGGTTGTTACAGATGACAAGATTACAAAGTACTGACAGACATGCATTACATCATTGCAATATACCATTTAGTAAACAGAATCTGTATTAACTTTCTGTTGAATTCTGAATAGGACCGTTGTAGATAGCATGCTTGCGTTAGGAATTAGGGTGGTCTTGTTCTTGTATTTTCTTGATCAACATAGGACAGCTACTGCACTTTTTAAATGGCTTTTTATGGGTGCTTAGGATTCTGGGTACTTACAAAAACTTAGTATCTCCCCTCCAAAGGGTGAGAGTCAAAGATAGCAGTTTTATTATGCAAAATTGTGCATGTGTGATCATGGAAAAGGAGAAAGAAGCAGCATCAAACTGGAATAATTTGAATTGGGAAGAACAGATGGTTGCAGGGGGAGTATCAGATGTCTTTTAGGAGGGCAAGTGCAAGGATGTTAGAAAGGCAGAAAAGAGTGGCAGGGAGCTACTTAGCTAAGGGTTTTATAATTCTGAATGGAGTGGAATATTAGGAAAAAGAGAGGAAAGAGAATAAATATTATACCTGCATTTAGAAGGAAAATGGAATACCTTGCAAGGATTTATCTTTCTGTATCTGCTGGCTTGTGAAGTGTTATGAAGCGCTGCTGAACTCCTCTGAAAAAGAAGGAAAGGTTAAAGGGGAAGGGGAAGATAGCTCTGCTGAGCAGAGAGTGCAGTATAATGTGTCCCTCCTTAATAGAAGGGATTTTCCTTGTGTGTGCTGCTCTTTTTATCCTTCTCAGGATTTAATAATCAAAATACATTCTTATTGTTCATGGATGCTGAAAAGTGGAGTCAGTGGGTACCATTTTGCATATTTTGGTTGTGATAGCCTGGGGGATTTTGGTGATTGTCTTACACAAAGGTAAAAGAGAGTCATGTAAGCATGTCAACTTACATAACATTGCGGGAGGGGTTGGGGTGTCACAGTTTTAAAGACATTCTTCATTTTTTCTTCAATTCTGCTTACACAAGAAGGTTAGAATCATTTCTTGGTAGGAGCTTTTGTAGTTGTAATACTGAGGCAAGATCTGAAATTTGCAAGCGTTGACTGTGCAGAATTAAAGCAATCAGAACGCAAGAGCTAGCCAGAAAGTTGTATGCAAGAAGTCTGCGCCTCTCTTTAGGATGTGCAAGGCCTCAGTATTCTCTGGAACCTGAGGCTTCCAAGACCAAAAAACTCTAGCTACTTTCCAGATAAGGCCTCTTCCCAGTCAGCAGAACTGGAGGCTTCATTAATGGAGGTGAAAGCTTTTACTTTTCCCATATGTGGTAGGATTTTTTTCTATTTTTCGCTTTTTATTTTTTAAATCTTTTTGGTTGTCTAAAGATGGTGCTAGCCATGTCTCCCTACCTCAGAATGCCCCTGTGAACAGAGGTATGGCATAATATGTCATTGCCAGAGTCATTCAGTCCCCAGGAAAGCTGCTAGATGACTTTGCCCACTCAATCTGCTTCTCAATATAGCAACAATTCCCCTTTTTAAGTAAAGAAAGTGTGGGTGGGTGGGTGGAGAAATAACCCTAGTCAATATCTCATTTAAAGGTAAGACCACCTAAAATGTCTTAGAATTTTTCTTGCTTTGCTGCTGCTTCAAAAGGGAGGGAGATCAATCGAAAGAACTTTCAAATAAATGTTTGGTTTCCTTGAAAGAAGTAGATTTCTGCCATATAAATAATTGGAGAAACTTCAGCAGTTGAAAGTGCAGAGACAGGAAGGACTGTCAAAAAGAGATACCAATTATTACTGTTATCTTTCCCCACACCTGACCCCCACCAGCAGCAACAGAAAGGAATCCATGTGGAGAATGGTTTTGTCTGAATGGACTTTTAGTTATAACAGCAAAGAGCTTGAAAACATTGTCTTATCTTGGGTAGTTTCTGCCTAAAACTTTGGAAGTCTTCCTATTCCTGTTCACTGATCTTATTGCAGGTGATTCTAGCATCCATTTAGCTTCTAAAGCTATTGGACTAAGTTTTCAATTTATTATAGCTTCTTTTGGTTTGAGGAGTCTCCCTTCTCCTCCTACACATTTAGCTAGAGGGTAGCTGGATCTTATTATGGTGTGGTAGTTAACTCCTTTGTTTCCAGGTGTGGGTCTAGATTTAGATCACTCTAACCATTTCTAGTCCATTTTTCTTTTGATCATGCCCTTTCACCAACAAGAGGTTATCTGTAGCAATGCACCCAGGCCCCCAGTTACGAATGTCTCAGTTAAGAACCCGAACTTGTGAATGTGCAAACCTGGAAATCCTCTCCTGTCCTTGAGCGGAAAGCAGGCTCTCATGGGTGCTGAGAAAGGAAGGAGGACGGAAGGGAAGAATAGGAAAGGAGGAAGGAAAGCAAGGAAGGGAAGTGAATAGAAGAGAGGTAGGAGGAAAAAGGACTCCAGTGGTAACCCCCCTCCCTCACCAGCACCAGGTCCATCCTCTCCAACACCGGTCCCAATCTTTCTATCTAAACTGTTTTAAGAACGGTACTGTATACCTACACACATATGTACAGATTCCCTTTCTCTTCAGTATCTCTAGTTACTTTATTACTACTCTATTATTGGCATTATTAAAATGTATTTTATTTAAGACGTTTTCATGTGTATAATAGTGTTTTTAAGTGTTTCATATGCTTTGTCAGGGCTTTTTTTGTCATAGAACGCACCAGAACAGCGTTCTGGCACCTTTTTTTCCAATGGATTTCACGAAGTGATTTTGAATCACCTCTTGGCGTAGCAGGTCAGCAGCAAACATCATTAACATAGCGCCTGCGGGCTGCTTTTGTGTCTGCGCCGCCCGACTTGGGACACTGCTCGGCTTGGGATTGGCGTGTGTGGTTGTGCACTGAGTGCTTACTGCCAGCGGCGACGTGAGTTCCAGCACCTTTTTTTTCACAAAAAAAGAGCTGTGCTTTGCAGTGCTTTTTTTGTAAGAAAAAGGGTGCCGGAACTCATGAAATTATTTACCTTTCACACATAGTCGATCACTGTACACACACCCACACACGTCAGTTGTGTAACGAAACATAATGGTCACCGCCTGCAGTAAGCACTCAGTGAGCGACTACACAACCAATCACAAGCCGAGCAGCACCACAAGCTGAGTAGCACCATCACAACCAGCACGGACGAAGTACACATGCATCGGATTCGACAAACAAGCAGCCTGCATGCACTGTTTTAATGATTTTGCCGCCGACCTGCTACGCTTGACAGGGCGATTCAAATCCATGTGGACCAAACATCAAATTTTCAAAAGTTACTTTTAAAACTTGGGAAATCTGTTGAAAAAAGGTGCTGGAGCTCCATTCTGGTGTGTTCTATGACAAAAAAGCACTGGTGCTTTGTATATATGTGATCTGACTTATATACACATTCGACCTAAAAACAGTCTTAGGAATGGAACTCATTCTTAGCCCAGGAACTGGGTGTATTTCAAAGATTACACCAGTGGCCTTTCTAGGCTGACCAGCTGGGTTTTGGTTTTGGCTGGGAGGAGAGATCTTCTGATGACTGATGAAGTGGCAGAGATATTTTCATCTGCCGCTCATTCAGCTCCTGATCATCATACCCCTGCTAAATCCCAAGTTCTTCCAGCCCAGGCTCCAGGGCTCTCTGCTACACTGAAGCTGGGATGGGCTTAAGTCGTCATTTGAGGATTGCATACAGGAAGGTGAGGATTGTGATTCCACCTAGTATACTTTAGTGTTGAAAACTTACTTTGGTCATGTGAAATTGGCTAAATAGATGTTTTATCAGGCCACAGTAGTTGCTCAGGCTTGAACTCCTCATTAACTTTTTAGAATCTTCGAGGGGCTATGAGGCATGGCCTCTCTTTCTGATTGCTCTGGTTCCCCAGCACTCTGCAACAAAGCTGGGAGAGATTTTTGTGAACAAGGGAGCAAGAATATTTGCCACCATTCCAGGCAGTATTATCTCTTCCCGGCCCCCTACTTTTTATCTTCCTGGTAACTTTGATTTTATTTAGATCACAGAGGACCAAGTGTCCTGCATCTTTCCCACTCTCCACTTGTTTTTTTTCTTCATCTCTTTATACTGCTTTTGTGTCCTGTCTTCCTGGCTTTTTGGCATATTAAGTTGTCTTTGTTTGCTGGCAATTTTTCCAGTCCTGTTAAGCATGCTTTCCTTTGTCCTTTGCTGCAGAAACTTTCTTTTAGACCCTTTCCCATGTGTGAATTGCTGTCTGGTTTCACTTCTGCCTTTTCTATGTAAACTTCTGGAAAGAATTGCCCTCTCCCAGTTGTTTGCTATCTATTTTCTCATGATTTCAGTGATCCTTTTCAGTTGTGGTTCAGGCTATTCAATGCAGAAGGCACTATCTTAGGTATTGAATTATGTTCCTGAGACCAAGGAACACTGACACACATTGATTCTGGTACTTTTGGATCTTTCAGCAGCAATGATACCTAGGACCACAAGATACTTTTGGCCCAGTTGGTATCCCTGGGCATTAGTAGCACAGCTTTTTCTTCATTTACCTCTTTCTTATCAGGTTGTTCTCTTTCTGTTTCCTTCTCTAGCGATGTTTCAGTCCTTTAACTCTTATGGTTGGGATGCTTCAAGGATCCATCATTGGACTTGTTTTTTCTCTTTATAACCTTCCTCTGGATTCTCTTAGTTATGATTTTTGTTTTCAACATAATATTTATGCTGATAATACCCAGGTTTACCCATCCTTTGAATCAACTTACAGAGGGGCAGTGGGCATCTGAGGGAAGTTGCCTGTTAGAGATTACCTCATGGATGTCCATTTATCAACTCAAGCTGAATAAGGATAAAAGTTGAACCTTGATTTTCTGCCTCAATTACCCTTTTCCTTCTTTTTCTTCAAGGCACCTAGCTGGTCCTAGTCCCTGTTGCTAGGATCCTATGAGTCCTGGTAGACAGTCATCTTTGAGTACACTTCTGTACTGTGTACACGATGAGAATGGTGTACTTTCCATCTAATGAATATCCATGAGATCTGCAGGTTCCTCTCCCAGGCAATGGCAGATATTTTGGTCTGAGGTTTGAGTGCTTTATGCTTGGATTGGGATAGCAGTCTTCTAGCAGGACTCCCTCTTTCTTTCTTTAGTAGTTTGATTTTGGTTCAGAATAATGCGTTCAGGACTGTTCTCGAGCTTCTTTGATTCCCTGATATTGCCTGCCATTATAGGGTCTTGCATTAGCTTCCACTGAAGGCCAGAGCCCTTTACAAGATTTTTCTCCAGGTCTTTAAGTCCTTATAGATGCATTATCCAGCTCACCTTTCTTTAGTCCTTGTATCTTCAGGTGTTGGTTCCAGATCCATGGACCAGGTTCTCCTGCCTCATGAATCACAGTGTCCCATTATTGTGTATCCCAGGACTTTGTCCTTCAATTGTTGAATTCCCTTCCTATACCACTGTGGTTAATTGATAGTTTGGAATAGTTTAAGAAGGGTCTGAAACCTTTTTTTTTAGTAGCAGGATTGGTTGTTTATTTGAGGTAGAATATGCTGATGGTTTGTGCTTTTATATGGGTTTTATGAAATTTTATTTTATATTATATATTCATTAAGCTTTTTGTTAGATTTATTATTTGTGTAGCTATGTTGTACATTCAGGTTGTTATAGTTAGTATTTTAAATTGTATGTTATATAGTAATTTGAAATAGAGTTATTTTATTTGATGATGATGATGATGATGATGATAGTCCCTCTTCTCCCACCATAACGTACATTATAACTTAGCATCATTCCTAGGGGCACAGTGTCCTGACTTTTAAAAAGGGAAAGAAGGGAACAAAATCACTGTACTTTATGTTTAAAAGTTACGCACTCTCTCCTCCCTGAAAAGTTTTAGAACTTTGTCTGGTTTCTTAAAAGTCCACACATATCCTGTTTCCCAGGGGAGGAATGGCTGCACTAAAGTGGAGTAGAGATATTTGGCACACATTTAGTTTGATATGCCAAATCCTAAGTGGCAGTTCATGACTTCCAGTACAATAATAAATAAGTACATAAAAAGCTCCCCTTTTGTGACTGCCTAAATCAGCTGCCTAAGATGACCACCCCACTTGGCCTAGTTGTGGGACCAGCTCTGTCAGGATCTGATAGTACAAGTTCCTTGATCTGGGTTTCCCCACCTCATCATGTTGCAAGTACTATGACTGTTAAACTATGTTTTGGGTTTTTTTTTAAATTCCACAATATTTGTCTATGTATAACATCGTTTTTTTGTTATCTTGATACCTTAGGAACGTTGGAAGGAATCTGTTAACAATCTTGATCAAAGACTGCAGGGAATTATGGGAGATGCCCTTGTTTCAGCAGCATGTATTGTCTACAGTGGAGTGCTATCAGCAGGGTTTCGTCAACAAATAATAAATGTGTGTCTGAAACTCTGCCATGAAAGCAATATTCCAGTGTCTCCAAACTATTCGCTAGTAAACTGCATGACTGAAAAAAGCGAGGTAGTGTGTTTAAGGATAAAAATAAATAAGCAGTATGTGAGGTTCTTATTTAAATTAAAAGAATTATTTAAATTTTTGGAAACTGATTAGTTGCATTTCAGACTAAATTTTCTACAGGTGATACCTTAGCAGGTTCACTAATTGCTTCAGTTATTAGAACGAGAGTGTATAGTTTTTGTGTTATGTGATTACTCATTACCAGTGTAATAACTGGTTGAATAAAACTATTTACAAAATTTTATATATGTTTAAAAATCATATTTGATAGGTCCGAAGGTGGCAAAATGCAGGTTTGCCACTTGATCAATACTCCACAGAAAATGCTATATATGTTAAGCATGGACAACGGTGGCCTTTGCTAATTGATCCAGAACGGCAAGCTTACAAATGGATATGCCAAATGGCAGGTGGCAAACTAAGACAAATTCGAATTACAGATGTGAATTATTTAAGAACACTGGAAAATGCTATGCGTACTGGTGAATCAGTCCTGTTGCAGGTATCTCAGTTTCCACTGATGATTTTCACTCAACTCTTAAATAAATGTAGCATGCAGAATGTTATAAAGAATGAATATAAATGCTGAGGGGCCATGTAAGGAGGTGGGAGTTGAGTAGTTTTGAATGGGTTTATCTTATTAATAAGCATAATATTGAAGCTCTAAGGTTGTTTTTCCACTCCTTGCATTGGGTTTAGGTGGAGAATGGGTCCCCTGACAATTGTCAAATCCCATACATTGAAATTGGAAACAGTCACTCCAAGGAAACCAGCATTGTGTAGAATGCCATAATTACCACCAGCCTTCTTGATAGCATTTTGTTTCATAACTGACTTAATACTTCTGAATGTTTAAATTAAAACAACACTGGAATGTTTCTGTGAAACATGTTTCTGTGCATTTCTTTACACAACTATTATCATTATAGCTTTCAAAGGCAAGCACTTGACAATAATAAATGCCCTTTAAGTCATACTGTGTCCAGTCTATACCTAAGTTCCAAAATAGTGATCTACTCTGAAATATGCTGTGCTAATATGTACAACACTCTGTCTCTAATCTTCTAGTTTGTTATGATGATGGAGTCTCCTACCCCATTGCTTTTCAGCAAAAGATTTATAAGGATATTGATTTTTATTCAGGGAGGCCTTTTCATTCTTCTTTCAATCTCCTAATTAAATGCAGAAAAGGCTAGTCATTGCTCCATTTACTTTTAACAGTGGACAGGACCAGAGAATACATTTTACTCTCTCATCCTTAATGTATCATTTCAATGAATGCACTGCTTGTAACACCACCCATTTAGAGGGAGCATGGTGATTAGATAGCATTAGTTATTGACCAGATTAGATATGCACTGACAAAATAACTAAAATTAGAAACTGTGTCCCTGCTATTGTTGCAGGGACCAGTTCTTACCAGTCAGGTTACTGGGTCCTTGCCCGGAGTTACTGTATGTACCTTTAAATTCACTGAAGCTAGAAGTATTTATGTTTAAATGTATATATTCGTATACATTTGTATACAATGTATATACAATTTTATATTGTATTTTTTGGATTTTTAATGTTTATATGTGTTGTGATTTATTTTATAATTGCTTTTATTTATCGTTTGTAAGCCGCCCCGAGGCTTCGGCGAATGGGGTGGCATAAAAATGTTTTAATAAATAAATAAATAAATAAATAAAATTCGGCACTGCCTATATATGAGGCATCTGTATTGACTGTGGTTTTATGGTTTTTAGGATCTTACAGAAAAATTGGATTCAAATCTAAAACCAATCTTAAAAAAGGAAGTCTACAGCAAAGGAGGGCAAGAATTCATTAAAATAGGAGATTCTGAAGTTGAGTACAACCAAACCTTCAGGTAACATCTTGTCAATGTTATTTTTTAATGTGATGTTCCTGAAAAAGTGGTGAATTATGGGAGGGCTATAAGCTGAAGGTTATGTCACATGGATTCATCATAAAGTTCCATAAAAATGGTAGGATAACTGCAAAATCGAAACCTAATCAAGGTTCACAGTGTATATTTTTTGTTAGTTGTATGTATTTCAGTGTGATATAGCATTTTCTACTGGAAAACATACAGGCTTTTTTGATCCTCAGATGAGGAAATTTGTAAATGAGCTGCCATGCTGGAAGGACTGGAGCAATGTAACATGAAGAACAGGAACCTTGTGTTCTTTTATGCATTTCTGTATGGTAGCAATTCTTGGCAAAGGAATAGAAGCCTTAACTTTTAAATGAAGTAGCAATTTGAAGCTAAGTAGGGAGAATAACAAAGTAAAAATAAATTTCTTACTGTCCCACTTTACATGTACATCTGATTAATCTAAAATAGACCAGTGATTATTTGTGGGGGATTGGGAGAGTTTTTACTTGAATGCAGTTGTGCATCCTTTCTTGTAAAAAGACCAGAATGGCTGGTTAATGTTTCTTAATGTTGCCAAATGTTGTTTAATCTGTGCTTGCAGCCTGCTTTTTCATTTTGGTGGGAGGAGCCAAGATAGGACAGCCAAAAAGCCTGGTTTTAAGGGAGAACCTTGATACAGTGGACATTATGGAAACAAAATGGAATGGAAAGAACTGGTGGGATACAGTCATAAAATAAAAGCTGAAAGAAGGACTGGAGTGAATGTGCTAGAGGAAGGGCTGCTCTGTTCATCAAAGAAAACACAGTATCTGCCAGACTCACAAACCTAAAAGGGGCAGACTCTCCCACAGAATACCCGTACAATGTCTATGTAAATACATGTTCCAGTCAAGACAAAATGGTTAAATTTCTTATATCACTGTGCTCTTGAACAGCTGGTCAAGGAAACAACCAGAGGTGAAGCATTTCTGCCATTAATCATAAATGCTGCCACCAGGGCCTAATATGAGATGTAAGTGTTGTTGAACCTATTGGAAACAGTGACCACAATGCTATCAGATTTAAGATATACTTAAGTGAAAGATTGCCAAACAGGTCCAATCCTTCAAAAGGGTTGACTTCGAAAGAGGAAATTTCTCTAAAGTGAGGGGACTGGTAAAAAGGAAGTCAAAAGAAGGAGTCATAAGGATTAAATACCTTCAAAATGTTTGGTGATTATGCAAAACCACTACAGTAGAAACTCAAATAGTATGCATATCCCAGGTTAGGAGAGGTAGCACCAAGCTGAAAAGGTCACCAGCATCAAGGAAGCTATTAAAAGAAAGCATTCTTCAGAAAATGCAAGTCTTCACTAGTTGAAGAAAACAAAGGGACCACAAGTTTGCACAAACAATATGCAAACAGACAGAAAGAGGCACAAAATGATTTTGGGGAGAATATTGCTAACAACATCAAGATTAACAATAAGAATTTTTATTCAAGAATATCAGAAGCAGGAAACCTGTAAGAGAGGCAGTTGGATCAGTCGGTTAAAGGGGTAAAAGGAGTACTATGGGAGGATAAGGAGATTCTAGAGAAACTGATTTATTTTTATCTGTCTTTGCTGTAGAAAACAGAAGACAGATACCTATGCATGCACTGATGCTTTCAGAAAGCGAATCTGAGAAAATGAGGAAATAGTGGTGATAAAAAATGAAGTTCTCAACCTTACTAACAAATTGAAAGTCAATAATCACTGGGCCTAGATGGTATCCATTATGGATTTGTTAAAGAACTAAAATAAGAAGCTGTTGACCTTCTAACAAAAATGCGTAATACTTCTCTAAAATTAGCTAGAGAAGACTAGAGAATGGCCAATATAACATCAATTTTTTTTAAAGGGATGCAGGGGGTGTTCAGGAAATTACAAGCTAGTTAGCTTAATATCTGTTCTGAGGAAATTGGTTGAAAACATTATTAAAGGTAAAATTAATCAGCACTGCTAAGAACAAATTGACATATCTTCCAGAAAGCCCTGTCTGTCTAGCTTTTTTGAGTCCTTTCAGAGTGGCAGTAAACATTTGGATGGGGTAAGCTAATAGACGTTATTTATTTGGACTTCCAAAAGGCTTTTGACAAAGTTCCTCAGCAAAGCATCCAGAGCAAAATTAGCAATCAGGAAATAAGAGGGGAAGTCCCCTTGTGCATCAGTAACCAGTTAACAAACCAGAGAGCAAGGAGTAGGAATAAATATTAATTTGTCCAATGGAAGAACATAAAACAGCCTTTGGGGTTTGGGACCAATGCTTTTCAACTTGTTCATAAATGATCTGGAATTAGAAGTTAGCAGTGAAGTGGCCAGATTTGCTGATGTTACCAAATTATTTAGGAACTTAAAGTGAAAAAGAGATATGCTATCAAAATGGCAAAGTAATTCATATATAAAGTGATGCATGTTGGAGTAAAAAACCCTCAGCTGAGCTGACCATGACTGGGGGGAGGGGGGGAGGAGGGGAGGGAGAGAGAGATCTTGGAGCTGTAGCGGATCAGTGAGGCCTACAGTTCTCCAAAACTTCACTACTCTACCAGCTCACACCATGTGCCCATCAGCTACTTGCTGTGCCTTCTCTTCCATTGCTTCACTCACAGAAACCTTGCTCCAACCAAAGCCTCCTCCAAGAAACAAGTGCCTCAGAAAGTTTTTTTCTCCTTTGGAATCTCAACCACTAGCATACCCTTGCTTGTGCGCATCCCATACCTGGTTGCCTCTTCATTCTAAACTGAAAATGGAAGGTTCATGATTTGGTATGATGGAGGCATCCGCAACAGGATGAGTACGTACCAAACATGCCTGCTCTTGATGCACTCCAGATTAAGCTGTGTCCCTTCTCCACTTAGGGGAGAGACCAAAGCTCAGTGCTAGAGCATATGCTATGCATGCTGAAAATCCCACTTTCAGTCGCTGGTATCTCTAGGTGGGGCTATAGAAGCTTTCTGTCTGAAATCCTGCTGAGCTTCTGCAGGTCAATGTTGACAATACCAGGCAACTTCCTATGTTCTTAGCTGTTAGTTCCTTCTCCTTGCTTTTCTTTTATTCTACTCTGCAAATACCATTTTATCTATGCTCGGTCATATGACAGTACTGAGGGTAGTACTATAAGACAGTCAGCCTATAGCAAACTCCCATAGCCATCTGAATCCTGGCTTTCCTAATGAGGGGTGAGGTGTAACCATTCATAGAAGCCTCCATTACACTGAACAAAATGGAATGTTCATGGTAAATGTCCAGTGCTGCATTCTCACCCATCAGTATTCCATGTATTTACTTTAAGCTACAATTTGGAATCCATTTCCTTCAAGTAATGTATGTTGTATTTGGAATCTTCGGTCATTTATGTATGTTTGTTCTTGTTTCAGATTATACTTGACAACACGGAAAGCCAACCCTCATTTTTTACCGGCAGTATGCAATACTGTGACAATGATAAATTTCACTGTGACATTCCAAGGTCTGCAAGATCAACTTTTGTCAGCTGTTGTAATTAAGGAACAACCTGAGCTTGAGCAAAAGCGTTGTGAGTTACTAGAAAGCATATCCAGTGACCTAGTAACCCTTCGTGAACTTGAACAAAAATCACTTAGACTTTTACAGAAAACAAATGGTAAGTACAAAGTTTACAGAAATCCTCAATGGCATCTATTTGTTTTGAACAAAATACAGACTTCAGTCATTAAAAAGAATACAAAGGAAATTATTATACTAATTAAATGACATGAATAATGTTTACTGATCTACATTGTGGCACTTGCAGTGTTTTATCAAGTATCTGTAGAGGGTTTAGATGGTGGGAAAAAGGTTCAACTCCCTGCTCAGCCTTGAAGCTTTCAACCTCAATGGGCTAAAACATTGCTTTATTTATTTATTATATTTATATACCACTTTTTCCCTTTCAAGGAACTCAGGGTTGCCAATATTCTCGTCCTCACCTCAGTCTTATCCTCACAACAACCACCCTGTGAGGTGGGTTGGGCTCAGAGTCTGTGACTGAGCCAAAGTCACCCAGTTGGCTCCATGGCCGAGTGGGGACTAGACTCCAGATCTCCTGAGTCGCAGTCCTGCACTCTTAACTGCTAAACTACACTGACTCTTTGAACTTCTTGCTCAATGCAAATTAAATTCTATCACTTCCCACTGGAAATAAAGAACCAGGCTTCCCCAGATAACCTTTTCCAGATGCCTACCTCACACTGACTCAAGAGGTGGCCTTTCCAACTGTAGCATCCTCATATGTTTTACTGTATTTTATTGTTGTTTTTAATATATAATCTGTTATGGTTTTTATTATGTTTTACTGTGTTTTTATCTTACGTTGTGAGCCGCCCAGAGGTGCTGTGGCACAATTGGGCAGCATACAAATGCTTTAAAATAAATAAAGAAATAAGGAATGCCCTCCAATAAGAGGCTCATGCAAGACTGAAGTCCACCTCCAAGTGAAGACCTTTTGCATCTGTCCATGTATTTGCATGTCAATTCCACCTCTTTTCCACCTAATGATCTGAGGGGTGTGGTGGAACTCTTGAACAAATATCTGGATTTAAGAATGGTGAGTTGCATATAGCAGCTGTGGTTACAAGCTCTGGCTACTGCACAGAGTTTTATTTATTTTGTCTTTTTCCACCAATGGGCCAAGAAATGCCCAACTAGGGCATCCAGGCAGTGTGGCTGACCGCCTTGCCTGACTGGTATGCCAGAAGACTTTGATTGGGGTTTGCAGCATCTGAAGAGTCTGCTCCTTTTGTGCATGTGTAACTCTGCTTCTGAAGTAGACAAAGTCTTGGTCCACTGGCAGTGGACTCACAAGTGCAGCAGGTGATAAACCAACAGAAAGGAAAGAAAAATACATCAGTATTCTCATCAGAGAGCTGGGAGTTTGGTGTGAGAAACACAGGATGTGCTCTGATCACCCACCCTAAATAGCATTCTCCCCAGCAGATGTGCACAAGCAACAGTACAATCTTGTGGTAGTTCCAACACTGGGGAACTACCTTCCTGTTGACATGCATTCAGCCCCTTCTGTGCTGTTTGTCAGCAATCAAGATGTTATTGATTAATGGTGCCTTCAGTAGAATTTATAACTGGCTTGCATGTTTAAAGCTGCTTTACAAAGTGTTCTGGGTACGTGCTATGATGTTGTGTCTGGTCATGCACTTGTCTGGGCAGGCATAACAAGGAAAACAGCTTTCCTTTCAGTAAATAGATAATCTGACAATTTATTCTTCCTCCTTTTCTGGTTTGTTCATGTGTATTACTTTACTGAATTTAACATTATGCATTTTATTGTTCGTACTAGTTCTTATTGTTATCATTAATACTTATTGGCAACCCCCAGTCTTTAACTGTTTCTGCAAACAAAATTAGAACAATTTCTGCCCAGTACTTAAGAATTCTGCCTTCCATGCTAGTGACATATAAGTGGACATTCATCTTTGGCTCTTAGAGGACATGACTGCTTCTGACTATGTCTCTTCAGTACCACTTCCTGGTAATGTCTAGTAAAAGAGATGTATTATATGAAGCTATCATATGTGCTATTTTCCTGCCTTCTGCAAATAGCAGACAAAGGACAGAGATTTCTTTTACACGCTTATGCACAGTTTCCTACACTGGCAAGGGCCACATTGCTAAGCATATTTCTAAAGAGTGCAGATTTCATCAATGATGTGATAGTTCAATTTGTTTACCATAAATGAAGTAAACTGTGTTTAAATTCAAGGACACCTGCTAGATGACCAAGACCTCATTGACAATTTGCAAAGAACAAAACTCACCTCAACAGAGATTTTTGAGCGTGTGGAAGCATCAGCAGCTACAGAAGCTAAAATAACAACATTGCGTGAAAGCTATCTTCCTATTGCCACTCGTGGGGCCATGCTCTACTTTGTAGTATCAGATCTGGTTCACATCAACTATATGTATCAGTTTTCCCTGGAGTGGTTTCAGAAGATTTTTGCAGACTCCGTAGATTACATGAGCAAGCAAAAAAGTGAGGCTTCTCTGAGTTCTTCCAGTTCATTTAGGCCTGCATCAATTCAGCCTCTCCGGAGGCAAAGGAAACTTTCTAACATCAAAAACTGGGAAGAAACTGAGAGTGAGCTAGACCAGTTCAGAAGACGTGCCCAAGAAATAATTGAGAAGTTAACACATAATGTTTACAAGGTACTTGCAGCTGGATGAATTACACAAAGGATTTTTGGCTTAATGTGGCTTGTACAATAGATTTGTAAAGTATAGTGATTTTTTATTCCTTCAGACAGTCTCTTCAGCCCTGTTCAGTGAAAATCAACTATGTTTTGCATTTCTGCTGTGCACAGCAATCATGAAAAATAATCATGATGAGACTCAGTTTACTTACAATATTGGATTTATATCAGAGGATCAGTGGAACTTCTTCCTCCACTCTAGCATGATGGCAAATATTATGGATACCCAGGACTCAGGTAAATATATAGGTATATGGGAACAAAGAAAGAAAGAACATATGAATGAATGAATGAATGAATGAAGTATAAAACATAAAATGCAATAAACTCACATAAAGACATATGTACTTCATCACTGAGTGAATAGGTGCCATGCATATAAAACAGAATTTGTTTCAAAAAAAATCTTGCAATTTGCTAACACAATTTGTTACATGTTTTCATTTTCCTACTGACTTAAGAGAATACTTATAGAATGTATATTGCTATAGCTCCATGTTCCCTTGATAATTACAAAGGAGAATGAAATTTGACAAGGACATAAAACTGCAAATGCCATAAGTTTTTCAATGAATTTGTTTTAAATTTTGTACTTTGTACTAATTAGATCTATGTTTAATATTCATGTCATTTTCTCATCTTTTTATAGCATAAATTTGCTGTTTTAAAGGAAAATACCACAAGGGATGCACATGGTATTTTCAATTATTTTTTAAAAGTACAGATAATGTTGTTAACACCATTACAGTATTTCTGTTAACGCAATGCTTGTTAACACCTTTTCATTTATGAAAACAGATCATAGATCAAATTACCAAGAAAAATGCAATAATGCAGACTTAAGTACATTTATTCACACATAAACCCATTTGATTTTTAGTAGGATTTACTTCTGGGAAAGTGGGAATAGGATTGCAACTAAAGGGCACAAGCATACGGCCCCTAGCCCTCATCTGGAAGGCCATAGGATCCTGGAATTTTCATGTGCAAGGCTTAAGAGAGCCATTACCTTGGGAATGAAAATTCCCACTTGTATCTTGCACTTGCCATTACAGAAGCCTCTGCAGCAACTCCTGTTTTGAAGACAAGGACAGTGAAGGGGAAAATGGGGCATGCCAGTGGAAGAGGAGGAGAGGCCAAGAGAAGCTGTATTCTGCGGATTCTCCAGCCTCAGGGCCTGTCCGCACCAATGTGCCTTGGCTGCTTGGGCTCAGAGTTTTAGAAGAAAGGAAATGGCTTCCATTACTTCTCCTGCTTTGATGGCAGCAGCTTGCCAGCTCATAGGAATCTTGGAGGGTTCCAAGACTTGAGACTTCTATTTAGCAGGTTCCATCCTAAATTGCTTTAATTGGAAATATGTTTCCATGTGTGGTTTTTTTAAACTTCTGGCTGTTTTCTTGGGAATGAATCCTGTGCTGTCTCATTGGATTTATGCTGTCCCTCATAATGGTTTAGGATCGTAGCTCATGAATAGCTATTGTCAGGGTCTGTTTCAGCCCTCTGTAATGGGAAGGATGAACTAAATGGCCTATGAAGGAATGTTTCAGCCTAAATTCTAAATTTAAAATGTGCTCATTTTTTCCCATGACAGTGTGTTTTTTCTAATCAAAGTTCAAAGTGAAAATAGTATTGCTGGTTACTCTCAAAAGAACTTGAGTTTAAAAAATAATAATTTCCCTAAGTCGTTCCTCAAGCTAAAAAGTGGGCTATGTTTATCCGCTGGGTAAAATCTAAAAAGCAAAAAAGTGTCTGAATTAAATATTTATGTAATTCTTCAATTAGGTTCATGTGCATTTATGAGAATTCCCCCACTCCCCTGGATTACAGAAACAATGTGGAAAGAATGTCAGTACATGAGCGCACACATGCCAGCATTCAGCCTATTGTGTGATTCCCTCTCATCAGATTTTCAGCAATGGAATGCTTTTCTGAGCAGCCAGGAAGTGTATTACTTGATTAGTACATCTTATAGACCTGTGTCACCACATCAAGGTGAGTGCTAGAATGTAAAAGAAAAAGATCTTAAAATGGTTTAATTTTAGTTTTCTTGTCTAACCTGTTATTAAAAATACTGCCTGTATAGCAGGTCAGTGGGAAGAGTCAAGTACACTACTATTAGATCTAGTTTGCTTTGAATGTGAGAGCACTCAGGTTTAATGTGTCTTCATAGTATTTATTAATTATAGCTATCCAGCAGTGCATAACCTGAGGCAAAGTGGCACTCCTATAGTTTGGGCAGCCCAAAGGATACATCCCATGTACCTAATCAGGTTATTATTCTGAGCTCCCTCACTCTATTCTGCTTCTGCTTTTGCCTCTTTCTCTCTCCAAAAAACCAAAACAAAGCAGAATTGCCAAGCAGCATTTCTATTTTGTCTGGACAAAATACTTTATGAGTTAAAGATTAGACTAGAGCTGATGACCGGATGGCTTCCAAATTATATTACTCTCCTCTCACATGGTCACTGTGGTGATGTAGAGCACCTGCTATTTATACCTGAATTAACAGATGTTCTCCTAATTGTGAAGAATCTGGGTTTTTAAAAATTTAATTCCTGTGAGGTTTTGGAGAAGAAGAAATCCTTCAGATGAGTAGGGTGAGCAGATAAAAGTGCTGGATAGAGATGTTTAAATAATTATTTATTGTTGGCCTTGAGGTTATTAGTGACATTCTCTTTAAAATGCTTTTTCATATTGTCTGCTTGCATTAACTATGCAAATTTGTGTTTCTTTTTGTCCTCCTAATTTAAGCAAGACTTCCATTTTCAGGAGCAAGCCTTCGTTTCCTTTTTATACCGTAATGGCTACCCAGAGAGCATGTTGCTAACAGGCAGCTTTTAAACAAATTTAATAAATAAGTAAATTCTAAAATGCTTGGTTGATACTGCTCGTTGACCATAATAGTAACTTTGAATTTTTATTAGCTTCTATTACTGTGGCTTGGAATAACCTCTAAGCATTTGGGAGAGATTTAACTCTCTTGATTACCCTTTCAATTTACCTTTTACCAGTCTCCTCATTTTAGGAAAGATTCCTCTTTTGAGGTAAAATGTGATCATGCTGGGCTTCTTTGACAATTTTCCACTTAACTATAAATTACATTTGATAGTGTTATAGTTGCTGTTTCCAGCTTGCTTGATGATAAATTTTGCCCTTGGTGCAGAGCAGCAGTGCCTAGGATTCAGTCCCGGGTTACCTTTCCTCTGGCCAGTTCCAGTACTGTGTTAGACCTTCTTAAACAACTAGCAATGCCTTTTAAAGCCAAATATGTGGGGATATGTGAAAGGCTGTCAGGATCCCTATAAGATTTCTGTGGCTACTAGCATGAGGGGAAAATCTACTTGTTCAGCTCAGCAATCTTGTGAGCAGCTTTTCTAAAATGGATTCTAGTCATCTGAGCCAGCATTAAGTGTATAGTCATGCTTCATGCCCAATAGAAGAGGAAAGGTACAGTAACTGAGCAAGAATGGAGGAGAACCACCCAGTCCAAAGTCCTGCTGGTCTCCGAGTTGCATATTGCTTCCCACCCGCTTTCCCAGGGATGTGTCAAGGGAGTTACAGGACTTTGGATCTTGTAGATCCAAAGACTCCCCTGATCTGCTCCCAGGATATCTCTGGATATCCCCCTTTTGCTGTCTCTTTTATTGGCAGCAAAGAAGCAGAAGCTGGTGCCTTTTCTGCAGGAGACACAGATCTCTCTTTGGGGGTGGACCTTACCTGTACATAGGGAGATCTGAAAATCTGAGGGACTCAGAATTGCACCCTCAAACATGCTTGTGTCATATAGAGTCTATCCCTTATACCTGCATTTAAAATGTTAAAATATTCTACCATATGGCTTATAAGTGCTGCATAATGTTGCAGATTTGTGGCAATTTTTGTATAGCATAAGACTTGTAAAGTAATGTTGTAATTCAGCATTTAAGTCACTTCCAGACCCACAAATTGATGTACAGAAGAAGAGTGATGATCAGGTCAGCGCACGTGTACGTTTTCCTTGGGAGAAGCTTTCTTCATTTGAAAGACTTATCTTGGTCAGTAAAATATAAAGAACCTTTAAAAGTCATTCCTTTTAAGTCCAATGTATTTAAATGGGCCTAAATGTTATACAAATAGATCTGGAATCATTCCATTGGGCAGTATCCAACAGTGACCTCCTATGGGTGACCAGTTCTGCCAATCCTGTTGCACAAGTAGCACCCCCTACTTATGCAATGGAGACTTAACACTTCCAGAGGCAACCCAAAATGATTGGAAATGCTCATATCTGGAATGGGACAGGCTGATGGAGCTCACATAAGGAAGTTTGTTCCTCCTTTCCAGCCTTATCCCCAGAGACACCGAATTACTGCTGCACATTTAAGCACCTTCCGGTTCCATTTATTAAAATGAGAAACAGCTAAGTGTGTATTTAATTTCACTACTGAAATCTGTGGAATTTAAATGCACTTAAATTCTCTGGTCGATGACTGTTACCAAATTTGCAAATTAAGCCAACTTTACTTGCAGAAGACAGAACATGAATGGAAAACATAGCACAATGAATTTCATTGTGAAATTCATATAAAGATAAATGAAATTTCTTCATTTGGTTAGGAAAAATGTGAAAAGGATCTGGAGATTTTAATGCACTGCAAGATGAGGATGATGTAACAGATAAAAATACTTATGTGTAAAAACAAAAATATAATGTCCAGAGCATAAGAAATAATGGCACCATTCCATTCTGCCTCAGTGAGACCTCTGGGCACTGCAGTTTAGGAAAGATATTAGCAAGCTAGAATATGCCCTGAAGAGGGTGACAAAAATAATGGGAGTTTTGGAGACCAACTCTTGTGAAGAGTAGCTGAAGAAGTTGGATCTGTTTAGTCTGAAGAAGAAAATACTAAGGAGCAATATGATGGCCATCTTCAAATATTAGAAAGGCTGTCACACAGCTAATCAAACATACTTGCTTTCTTGCTTTAGAAGACATGGCACAAAGAGCCAGTTCACACAATCATTTTAGCCCACTGGGACAAACTTAAGCAACAGTGGGTTGTGATATATGCTGGCAGACATTTTGAATTTTGAAGACGTGACGAGGCCGTCATGTCATCCAAACCCAGCAGGGGTAGGTTGTGTGCAGATTAAACAACCTTTCCAGAATCTACAGAATGGGTTGTTTAATCCCATACGGCTCAACCCCCCAGGTCTGAGTGATACAACGAGCTGTGGTTTTAGCTTAAATATTTAGGACAGCACTCAATGCCTTGTCATGGCTTAAATAAGTCATGATAAACTTTAGCAACTATGCAAATCCACTCAGTGTACTTTAATTCTTTGTTACTGACTTTTTCTTGGTTTTATCATGTGCTGTTTCTATTCATTATTCTGTATTTATGTATTAGGTTTCTACTGTATTCTACACAGTCCAGAGAACCTAAGTTACTGGGCAGTTTAAAAGTATAAAATGAAAGAATAGCACAAAAGGGGATTTCACCTAGGCATTAAGGCGATGTTTCCGACAGTGGACTTCTTGCAGCAGCTGTGGAGCAGGGCACCTCTGAAGGTGGACTCTCCTTTGCTAGTGATTTCTTTATATAGAAGCTGGATTGCCACCTGTCAGGAATGCTTAGTAGTGGCCTTTGTCTGCTGGTGGGGGATTAGATCAGCTGACCTTTTCAACTCTGTGATTGTGTGGTCTTCACACATTCTCCTGTATTATGATTTATATTTCTGATAGATAAAAGTTCTCCGATTAGAAAGTTTAAACAGTGCAGTACGAGCATTTGTAATTGAGAAATTAGGAACCAGTTATCTTCGAACTGGAGGAATTAATTTGAAAGCAGTATATGAAGAATCCGATCGCACAACTCCATTAATTCTCATCCATACTCATGGTGAGCATTGTTCAGATAAATAACGATTATATGAAAATCAGTTTTGAATTACTCTTTATCCAGCGGTGTAGTGGAGCCAGGGCTCACAGGGTCAAAGCACTGGGATTTTCTGATCAACAATATGATATCTACCACCACCCACATCAGGCTTCCTTGTTCCCTCTGAGTTTAGCCATAGCTGGATTAGTGTAACTGCAGTTGAGGAATATTATATCTAGTCCCAAACAATAGTGAGCATGAAGGACAAGAGTTCATGTTCTGTAGCTGAAAATGGGTTATGTTAATCCTTCATAGTACACCTATATTGCTGGGAGGGAGAGTAGTGTATGGCTTCACTGTGGTGTAGTCCAGAGTTTTGATCTAGAGTGCTCATGAGTTGGGCTTTTGTCTTTTTGAAAGGGAAATGCAATTGTGCAGTCCTGTGAATGAAGCAACATGAAGAAGGAGACTTTTCCTTAATTAAAAACTTTCTGCGTCTCTTTCTGGCCTCACTGTTTACAAGAGATGGTTCCCATTTCTCTCAAAATACAGTATTCCTTGTTAGAAAGTTCATTCTTGGAATGTGAACCGGGTGGGGGGCATGCACTGTGGCACAGAAATGTCAAGGTTAATTAGCAAGATTTGTCAGTAGTTCCTAAGACCCAAACTGCCTCTGGTTTGTGGGGAGACATTGTAACAGGGAGGAGCTGAGGAGGAGGAAGGGTATAAATTCATTAATCCAATGAGCCAGCATCAAGCAAATGAGTGGTTCCATTGTCTGGTGTTCTCACCATCTGGCCCACAACCAGCATGCACTTCCCTTAGGGAAGAATCAAGCTTTTCGGAAGGAAAGGTAGGATATCATTTATTTGACTTGATGTTCATACATAGAAAAGATGGAGTCGTAAGTGTAGCCATATAAGAAGCAAGGAGATGTTTGCCAAATTTGGAGTGGTATGAATTAAAAGATTTGCTGTCATTCTTTAGGCTCCCTCCACAGGGTCTCTGTAAGAGAACTGAGGTACTTGATGCATCCATATTGGGAGGGGGGGAGGTTGATGCATCTTGTTTCAAATGCTCCTGAATGTAAATGAGTGGGCACAGTAATGCAACACATAGTAGGCCATTCTAAATGCTAAGGAGGTTTATTATGAACTTAATGTAATGTTTAATGATTGTGTATAAGATATAAGCTTCATACAAGCTAAATCTGCTGAATATCATTCTATTAAAGGTGTAATACAATAAGTGTAATACACTATGTATATCTCTCTTTGTTCATTTATAATGCAACATACATATTGCATAAGCCTAATAATTTCACTCAGTATATTTGAGTGCCATAACTTGAAGTAGCTTTAAAGATAAAACATGTATGGATGTGGAAATAAAATCAGCGCATCGCATATCACACAGGTGTAGACATAGCCTCCATCTTCCTACGTCTTGCCCAGGAAATAAAAGGAGATACCCAACATGTGAGAATGATGTCTCTAGGACGAGGTCAAGGAAGCAAAGCTGAAGAACTGATATATAAAGCACAACTACTGACCGGACAGTGGACATTCCTCCAGAATTGCCATCTGGCAGCTTCATTTATGCCTAGACTCTGCACAATTGTTGAATCGTAAACACTGTTCTTTTCTTATCCGTTGTCAGATTGGGTATAGGACCAGAATAGCCCCAGTGTACCATGTGTCTTGTGACTAGAATCAAGTGTGTATGTGATCCTCCCACAACACCTAGATAAGCATTTCTGTACCCAACAGAGTTGCAGCTATTTCTTGGCCATGGCATTTCAACAGAAAGAGACAACTGTACATTCACAATTGTTTTTGTGTTCTTTGTCCCTGATTCTGTGCAGCTCTCCACCAGTTCTTCCAAGGTGGCCTGCATCTCTGTTAAAATGCTGCTGAAGGCCAGTCTGATTCTGATCTCCAGTCAATTAACAGAGAACAGTTCTTACTGAGCAATTTTCTCCACATAGATCATCAACGTAGAGTATGAGAAGGAGAAATGGCACCAGTGGTGAAAAAGAGGTTGACACAGAGAGACTGCATAACTGGATCTCAGCCTCTTGTGGAAAAGCCAGCCATTTTCTCTCCAAGGGTCCTATGTTGTGCCAGTGTTTGCCTCATCACAATGTCCACTGCTACTTGTTTCCGTAGTCTGCAATGGCAAAGAAAGGCATTGTTTCCATGTTTGGGGCAGCTTTAAAAAAGGACAGTTGCACACTTCCCCATGTAAGCAGGTGGTTTACATGAAAGATTCTCCAGACAGCTTCCTATCATATTCTGTGAGAAAATCACAAAATTAGCCCTTGCAGCCCAAGGTTTGAGCATTGCATCCCTTGATTTAGGGGTCAATCCTGTGCATGTTTAGACAGGAAAAAGGGCCTATAATTCCCATGGTGCCTGGTTTCTGCCTGAAGATGTGTAGGGTTGTGTCTTTAATGTAGAGAAGCAACCGCACTGAATAGAAGATCAGGAACTTTTTCTATGTGAGAGGTGATGAGATGATATGTAGTTGCCTTAGACTGAGCTGGTGGGGGACTCTGTAGTCTCTGTAGTTTTTTGTAGTCTCTTATACCAATGAATTCTAAATTAAATAAAAGAGAACTTTGGGCAATGTAAACATTTTACATCCTGTTTTCAAATACTCATGCTGTTATAAAACTGATTCAATCCACAGGCTTTCCTATTCAGAAGTGAACATAGACCCTGAGTTTAGACTATGGTTGAGTTCAACACCAGATACTTCTTTTCCCATTTCTATCTTGCGCAAGGGGCTAAAGGTAAGTCTTCAGATAATCCCTACAAATAGAAAGATAATTCATATGTTATTGGGGTGAATAATTCAGAAATCTAGTTGGTCCCCAAGTGGAAAACATAGTTATTATCTGCTGAGTGATTGCATGCATGAGCTCACTTATGCTTATGAAAAATATGGTAAAAGCAAATTAGTTAAGTGACAAACCTCACAGTTAAAATCTTAAATCTTGTTGGTTTCAATGGGACTTGAACCTGCTTGATTGTCCCTAAAAGATAAAAAGATAAAATACAGTTTCACTGGTCTTAGTGAGCTCCCATTTAAGGTAATTCAGGGTGCCATCCTATGGTGATGCTTGTAAACCTTTTGAATTTGAACAATTAGAACAATCCTATGCAGGGTGGGATACATGCAGGGACAAAGGCAACCTCTGCATTCTTCCAGCTCCGCAAAGCAGCTAGATGGCCAGTCTTTACTGTTTAATGGCCACACTTCAGAGGCAGAGGGAGAGAGGCTGGATGTGTTGCCAGGAGACTTTGTATTTTGGCCATGGCAGTGTCCTCCCCTTCTGGCCCTCTAGAATACCCACCAAGCTGCTTTTGCAGCCTCCAAGAAGCAGCTGGCATGGATTTTTCCATGTCAGTGGTGAGAAGAGGAGGGTGCTCTGAATGTAGAGTGCCAGCTCCAACACTGGATCTGTTTCCTGGCATCAAGGTGGGACTCTGAAGAACCCTGTGTCCCTCTAGACAGGGTCCAGCTGCCATCACTCTGCCTGTTATAAATGTATCTTCCGCTGACATCTACTTGCTCTATTCATAAGCTTTCTGCTTACTTTCCAAAGATAGTAATAGAACCTCCCCAAGGACTTAAAGGCACATTACTTCAGACATTTGGATTAAGTGGTACAAGTCTGGTAACGGAAGCTACGTTCAACAAGACCACCTGTGGGCCATCATGGAAAAGGTTGCTCTTTAGTCTGTGCTTCTTCAATGCTGTAGTCCATGAAAGAAAAAAATATGGTGCTTTGGGCTGGAATATTCCATATGAATTTAACTCTTCAGATCTAGAGGTAAGACAAAGGGTGAAAGAAAAGCATGACTATAGAGTAGAGTAGAGTAAAATAGTATATATTGTAACCAGTTGGAATCTAGAGCTTATATCCTGCCAGTGAGTTCTGCTGAGTCAACTCTCCCTGTAGGAAAAGTAAAGTGTGATCTTTACCATTCCTCTTCCCTATACTGTCCTGGAGGATCGCCCAGTTTTTTGGAGCCATTGAGGGGGAGATATAGAACCACAGACAGAGGGGGGAATTTGGCGAAGATTATTTGCTCCATCATTCGGCCTGTGGAAAATCCCCACTGCCTCCAAAGCCATTCATGGGTCGTGTTAGATAGGTGCCCATCTGGACACGGGCCCTTGATTTTCTAAGCTGAGCTCCGGTTCTTTAAGCCATCCCAGTTGCCATCATCTGTCTTCCTCCTCCTTCTTGACAAGCCTCCTTCTTGGCTCTGAACTCATTAGCCTTGCAGTTGCCAGGAAACCTTAGGATTTACTCCCTTAAAGGCTAATAGGAAGTGTTCCACTAAGGCACCAAATTTTTAACTAAAGGGGAGATTGGCATCTGTCCTTCCACAATCTGCATATAGTTTTAATTAAGTCCAGAGTCAAAAATTACCTGACAGCACCACTGTCACTCAACTTTCCTGGAATGCACCTGACTCTGCACAAATCAGCCCAGCCAGGTGCTACTGAGCAATTCCATGTAACCTTTGCCACTGTAGCAGGGAAGCTGACAAGAAGAAGAGCAGGTTCGTTGCTGCTCACATAACGGATGGAGTGCCACAGGCCTCCCACGTCTTTTGCTTCCTTCAAGCTGGCTGAGGTCTCCTACCTTGGGAGAAAGCAGAAGTAGGTTTGATCGCAAGCCGTGCTTGAATGAACAATGATATCAGACTGTGAGACTCACAGATTTACTGTGGCATAATAAGCTTTCATGGACAGGAGTTCACTCTACAGAAAGTTATTTTGAAGGATGTTGCTTTTCTGATCCCCCAAGACTGCCTGGCTTTTTTCCCCACACTTGTTAAGAGGTAGCTGAGATGGTACAGGAAATTGTGTGAGGCAGGGAAACAACTAAAGGCACAGAGAGATCTGTGGATGAGGAAACATGTTCAGGATTACATCAAATTGCTGTATAATTCTAAACATATTTATTCAGAAATAAGTCATGCTGGATTAATGCAATTTATGCCTAGGTAAGTATTCATAGGACTGGGACTTTAGTAAATATGCTCAGTGCTTCAGTAGGCATTAGCCACCCTGAAGACAGTTCAGGTATCTGGAGCTAAAAAAAAAAAAAAAATGAGGGTTGATAACCTAACCCTAACCCAAGCCAGCCATACTGGTCCATGAGAAATAAACCCCCCAAGTCAGCAATTTGCCAATACCTTTATTAGGAACTGTGATTGGTCCTTATAAATTATGTATGCATTTTGGTAGTTTAAGAATTGTATGATGAAGAAATTGCTAGAAACTTAACATTTCAAGAAGTTGGAACCCAAGAACTGGGAAGAAAGAAAAAGAGCATTTTACCCTAGAATCCTGGAACCTATCAAAAGTATCAGAAGTAAAACCTTTGGAAACAGCTTTGACTGCCCTTTCCCCTGGTCTGAAGGCCAGGAGCAGCAAAGCAACTTCTTCCAGTTCGTGTGCTGTTGTGTTTGTTGGTGTGTGTTGGGAAGAGAGTGGGAAAGAGCAACTGAGGATTTATTTGGAATTTAATCCCGCTATGTTTAATGAGGATTACTTCCTGCTTCTGTAGTTTGAATCCTAGGGGCTTGAGTGCCTATAGTCTATATATCCTCACATTCTCCCATGCCAATACGCCATATTCAGTTTGCAGTTAATGGGTAAATGCTTCAGAGGCCAGATAGCTGGTCCCAGGCACTCCATTCTCCTGGGCTTGAAAGGACAAGAACAAGTGAAAAGTAGGATTTAAACAAAGTGTGGCACATACTATAAAACTTGAATTATAGTAATTCTAATTATGTACATATGTTTGCATGTGTTCAGTAAGCATATACAGATTGGCGCAATTTTTTGTCCTATGGGCCTTAGCCGTGGATCTTTTAGGTATCTAATGGAGCCCCTGTCCCCTCTGATAGAAAGAATCCTTCAGTCAAACAGAGGCTCTTGGTAGATCCAACCCACTGTTTCCAGACTGTACCTGGGAACACTTCCATTCTGCCATGTCCTTGCAGATGAAACAGCAAGGAAGGGACGACATTTTCCTGCCCTGTTTCACAACTGCATCCCTTTCCAGTTGCAGGAATGCCCTTCCCTCTGATCCTCTTCCTCTGTTATTGAGCACTCCTTTAGATGTGTTGGTTCGCCAAGGCATTTCCAAATCAGTCCTCTTGGGTTTCCAGCAGAGGTGGTTGAGGCCCCATCAGTGAGGATGTTGAAGGAAAGACTGGAGAATGTTGGGGATTACGTGACCGGAGCCGGATGGAGCTGGGGGGGTCAGACTAGATGGCCTGGGAGGCCCCTTCTAACTCACTGTGTTCCTATGTTTATCTTTCCTTTCCTTATGGCCTTCATTTATCCTTTCTTTGACTTTACTCTGTAATCCTGCAGGTAGAGGTGTACTTCAGCTAAATAGGTCACGAAATATATAAATAAATATAAAACTTTATTATTACTATACAGCAACCTTCCCCAACAAGATGGGCTTCGGATGCTTTGAACAAAAACTTCCACAATCCCATTAGCTGTGCTGGGTGGGTCTAATGGGAGATGTAGTCTAAAACATTTGGAGGCTTCCATCTTGGGGAAGGCTGATATAGGAGCCTGTAGTGCCCTGACCATTAACACCCCTCACAAAGCCATAAGATTGGAAACCACACTCTGACTGTGATACAAAGGTGCCCTTCTGCAGGCCAGCCTCTGCGACTGTGCAAAATGAAGCAAGTGACCTCTTTCTTCCAAGAGGTATGTTGATCTCCCTGTGCCCCTTTAAACACACACCCTCATTCCTATGTTGTTAAGTTCTTTTCAAATTCCCCTCTGTTTCAAAAGTGGTTTTTCATTCAAGAGACACAAACCCAAAGACCTGCTGGGTATGCCAAGCAATCAGCAAGGTTCTTTGGCTCTCTGCCCTTGCCTTCACATTTAAGAAATGAAAAGAACTTGGATGACAAAACTGAAGCAGAGGAGTAATGTTAAAGTAGCTATCCCACTTTTAATTTTTTTTCTTCCTAAGATTTCCATTCAGGTGTTGGAGATGCTTCTTCAGAAACATAAGAAGATTCCTTGGATAGCACTGCATTATTTGACTGGGGAAGTAGCATATGGAGGCCGTGTAACTGATAATTGGGACCGTCGGTGCTTGCTCAGCATTTTGGACAATTTTTATAACCCTTCTGTACTGCTAGAAGATTTTTCTTACTCTAGTGACTGGGTAGGAGACATGCTTGCTTTTGAATATTTTACAACACTTTAAGAACCAGTATCTAAGAACTGGGTATGTTTAGTCTGGAAAAAATAAAGGGGAGCATAATATCCATCTTCAAGTATCTGAAGAGCTGTCATACAGAAGAAGGAACAGATTGTTCTATGCAGCTCCAGAGGACAGGTCAAGGACCAATGGTTTAATTTACTTACTTACTTATTTAACTTCTATAATGCACAACAGCTGAAGCTCTCTGGGCATTTGGAAGTTGCAAGGGCACAGATTTTGGCTAAAGAGTTGGAGAATATTCCTGTCATTATAAGCAGTTTGACAGTGGAAGTGACCACTTTGGGAGATGGTGGGTTCTCCTTTACTGGAAGAACTTAAGAAGAGGCTGCATGGACATATTTCATGGATGCTGTTACATCCTGGATTGCTGGTCCTACCTTAAGTAAGGGACTGGACTAGCTGACCTCCAAGGTATTTTTCAACTCCATGGAAGATACAGAGTTGGTATAGTCCTAACAGGAAGCCATGGGTTCCAACCATGTGCATGTGCCATGGTGAGCACTGAGCTTGTGCTTCCCCACTCTTTTGTCCTGTTCTGTGCCCAAGCTGCATGCTTGCTCTTTTGTTGTACATGAACCTCAGTTGCCTGTTGTAGATTTTTAATAAGGAAGGCTCCAGCATAAAAAGCATTGCACTTACTCTAGCAACTCATTGTGCTCTCAGTGACTTCCTTATTATTTATTTGGGAAGTCTTCACACAGCATAGATCTGTATCAGTTGTGGTCATCCAGCACCTATCTCCAGGCTGAAAACTGGGAGAGGGGCATTAAGAAGGAAAAGGCAAGACCAGATGCAGGAAAATTCTTAGGTCTGACCTCTGGTTTGTTTTAAATACGCTATTTTTAAAATTGAAGCTGGAAGCTTTTGATCATTTCCTGTTGCATATAAGAGAGGAAATTGGGTTCCAGGAGCCCAGGACTTGATGCAGGTCATGCAGGTAGCAGAAACTATAATTTTACATTATGGCTGAACTTGGGTTGGTGTTATTGTGGCCTCTCACTCTAGGAATATTGTTTCAGGCAAGCAACACCAGAGACAGCCTTCTCCCAGGCTGTACAGTAGCCTGACCACCTGTGCTTCCTCCCCTTCTGTGCATGTACCACTTGGTCAGGGATGTGTCAGCCGCTTTACCTGCTTTCTGAAACTCAGCCCTACTTCTCCATCATACAGTTCTGATGGATTTGGGGCCAGTTAGAGCTTTTCCTATCCTTAAAAGCTACCGAGAGAAGGAATTAACCACTGCTTGTTGTAGAACAACCCCCCATGCACTTTCCAAATTTGAAACGTCTTGGTTATGAAGTTTCACTAACCTATAAGTAGTAGATAAATGAATATCTGGGAGGGAAATCTGTTTGACTTTCAAACCCATGAATCTGTTTTGCTGGTTTTGTGAGTAGACTTCTATTCTAAAAGGTGATTTCTAATTTATTTTAATATTGACTCCAGTGAGTTTCAATCAAATGGCCTCCAAAGAGGTGAGAACAGGTGAGAAGCTATTAAAATGATCTGTTTTTAAAATGACCATCAGTTTGCTCATATGTACATAGAGAAAATAAGGCACTCCTCCGTGTTGCAGGTCTATCGACCCATATCTGCAGAGGATACTTTAAAAGACTGCAGAGCCTACCTACGGTCCCTTCCGGATGTTGACTCCCCGGAACTCTTTGGGATGCATCACTGTGCTGAAGTCGCATACTTAAAAACTCAAGCACAGTTATTTGTTGATGCCGTTGTCAGTACCCAGCCAGCAGTCACCACAGACACTCTCATCATCAGGTTAGAGGTTTTTCCTTCTCTTCCTGAAATATGGCTGCAAAACAGAAGAATTAAGCATGGCTAATAACCAGTACTTTCAGATTAAATAAAAATTATCCTGAAGTAATAGGATCTTTTCATTTTCTCACTTTTTGTAATTATCTGATGTTGTTCATCATCCCAATCTTTTCTCCTTCATTTTTCAGTTATAAACACATGAATCATTGTGTAGCTCACAAGTGAGCAGCGAAATGAGCCTTGGTTCTCCCCTGTGTCCTCTCCACAGCTACTCAGAATTTCCCATCACCAGATTTTTTTTCCCTATCAGAAGCCCTCTGGATCAGTCCCATAATCTTGTAATACTGGTTGTAAAAGACAAAGCAAAACCAAATGGGCAAGGAAGGTGATGCTCATATTCTTAGTCACACATGGGAAACGGCAAAACCCCCTTTGCCCTGCTGCTGCTGCTGCTCTGATTTTTTTTCCTACCTGCCTGAAATGTGCTTCCTCTCTCACCACCTGACATTTCCCTTCCCTTGCTGCAGTTCCTTTCCTCCTCCTCCCCCTCCTCCTCCTCCTCCTCCTCTATTAGGGGACTCCCTGCTTCCTTGTTAGAACTATTGAAGTGAGTGCACTGGTGGGGGGATGTAGGCAGCACAGGGGAGGAGAGCAGAGGAAGAAGGAAATCCCAAAGGGATCTTCTGGGCACACTTGTGAGTCTGGGCAGGTACATCAGTGGGCATGATATTGCCAGTGTTTGCCCTCCACCCTGGTTTTCCTTTCCATCCCCAGCAGTCAACATTAACCTGCATTGGGGTTTGAACCCCTCTGATTGGAATTTTTATTTCCTTTCTATGTTCCTTTTGTGGGGTGGAGTGGATACACTTGTGCGCAATCCCAGCTATATTTAAGTATTTTATTTCTCAATTTTCTGTCAGTATATCTTAGTTGTGTTTTTGTGAACATTTAAAATAGCTTCTCGGTGTGTCTTACCCAGACAATGAGCCAGTTCTGTCTGCATTTCTTCATTTTATGTGTCCCTTCCTCCATCCTCTTTTCCCCAGTCTCTCCTATCCATATCAATATTAAACAAATCAAGTATATGTACTGTAACAGTCAGCTGAACAAACTCACACAAATACTGTAGCAGGTAGCCTACCTGGGACACCAAACAACATGCAATGCAGAATGTAACTTCAAGTAATTGCATTTATAATTTTAGCTCTGTTTGTCCCCCCCTCCCCCGCACCAGTGGTAGAAGAAGTCAAGATGAAATAGTATTGGAAATTGCTTCTGACATTTTAATAAGGCTTCCACTGACTGTGGAAGACACAGGATGTGCACCTGAACCTAAGGATGACGTCTCAGAAAAAATTGCATTTGGAAGTTTCAAGGCAGGCCCTGTTTGGGCTGCACTTATGAAGGCTGCAGAAGGTTAGCGTTGTGGTTCATTTTCTAGCAAGAAGAAAAATGAAAATACATGTCTGGTTTTGCTCCATTTACAGTTATTATGACCACATAATGGGGAATAAAAGAATACATAGTCTAGCTGTAGCTTCATGCTGATTCAGCTGTGCTGATGGATGCTGACATGGGCATAAAGATGCAATTTATTGTGTTGTGCCACCACTGAAATAACTCAGACCCAAAAGCTTAGAAATCATCCAGAGATTCCTCCCTGCCCCATCACATTCCTAGAATTTAAGATGCAAATAACTTCTGTCCCCTATTCAAATAAAAAATCTGTAATGCATCAAATAATTGTTTTCTGCCCTTTCTGCCCTTTAATAATGCCCCCAATCTGCAGCTTGATTTAAGTTTCTCACTAGTAAGGCCAAACCCTATTGTAACAGTTAAATGTTCTAGAGCAGTGGTGGCGAACCTATGGCATGCGTGCCTCAGTGGGCATGCAGAGCCCTCTCTGTTGGCACGCAAGCCGAGTTGCCCAGCATCGCCCCAGCAGCCGAGCATCAGATAACAGTGCACACATGGGCCTTGCGCATGCTCAGAAAGGAGTAGTGGTGCCAGGTGGTGACATCACAAGCCGCAAGTCATTAGCCATGACTCGTCCGAGCTTTCATGTGGCTGGTCAGTGCACTGCCAAGGATATATATATATATTTCCTTGGACTGGCTGTGAGTTTTAAAACATGTGTTTTTATTAACACAAGATTTTAGCTTTGAGTTTATGAGCTGTTTTCTCTAAACCTAAACCTTAGTATTCAGGTTTTATTGCAGTGTTGGCACTTTGGGTTGCAGTTTGGGCACTCAGTCTCTAAAAGGTTTGCCATCACTGTTCTAGATGATAACCAGTGGATTTTTTTCTCTTTTTTTCTCCATAGGTCCTGGTTCTTTTATCAAATCAACTTTGCTAACTGTCTTGCATCAGGAGATAGACCAGTATAATAATTTATTGGCCATAATAATTAAGTCATTGCATGCACTTCAGCAAGGTATCAAAGGTGAGATTATCTTCACCACAGGAATAGAAGAGCTTTATAATTCAATACTGAAAGCCAAAGTCCCTGAACTGTGGCAGGTAGGTGAATACTCTGTGACTTTACTTCTGCTGTAGGCAAGAGCATTGTTTATGTTTCCTCTCTGGAAACTGTTGTTTTTGGAATACTGACATATACTGTATACAAGTCATATATTGAATACAAGGCACGGTCCCTATTAGAAAAGTATATTGAAAGAAAACTTTGTGAAGGGTCCAGTTGGAATGCACTTGACGTTACACAAAAAGCAAAGGTAGCCATATTGACCAAACCAAAATCCATATTAAGCTTTGCCTATCTAGATGAAGTGCCAGGGATTGAGAGGGAAGGAGGCTGGGGTGCAGGCAGGGAATTGTGTGTGCCATCTGCCGCAGTTCCCTTGTGTCTCCTGTCTGAGGCCACTTCTATCGGCAGATCTTAGATGGCTAATACTGTTTTCCCCTTTGTGATAAAGATTAGATGCATATCCATTCTGTACTTCTTTACTGTTGGCAATTCCATAAGATATTGTAGCAGTTTTATAATCAGTATACTATCTATTTAACACACTGGAGTTGCTCTCACTGCATCTTTTTTGCCCTAGAAAAATATAGCATGTACAATGTTTGTTTTAGAGAGAAGAATTTCCATACCAACTATAATGCAGTAAAAAATATAGGTCTGAGAGATTTATTTTTCAGAATATATTCCATCCCAAAGCCAAGCTGCACCTTCTACTGAAATAAGCCATCTTCTATCCCACACATTGGCACACTTTTGGTCACACCAAATGTTTTACCACTCAGAACCTGGCAGAATTATCTCAGGTTTGGAACTGGCTCTCTGCCTGTCTCACCCCCAATTGTCAGGCACAGAGGGCCTGAAAGGCAGAAGTACAAAACTGTTCTCTTTCTGTAAAACAAAATCAAGCTGTATCCTTGGCATGGTAGGATAGGTTACATGAAAGCAAAACTCTTATGTATCAGAGTAAGGAAGGCTGAAGTACAAGGTGAAGCTGATCTGGCCACAGTGTCACTCTGCTTACTGCCGGAGTAGATATGGCTACTTAAGCTACCATCCCCTTCCTCTCTCACCGCTCTCTGCACTGGCATCCAAAGTTGCTCACAGACTGCTCAGCCATGCACCCTGGTGGAGAAGAATCGACAGTAAGCTATTGCATGTTTGCATGTTGCTTCTGCTGGTGGTGGTGCTAAACATGGTTTTTGCTTTGTCTACCATTATACAACAGCACCATTCCTATAAGTCCTGTAAACCTCTGGGATCCTGGATTGATGACCTTATTATAAGAGTGAGTTTCTTTGCCACGTGGGCTAATCAAGTTATCACCTTTTTGCAGGCAAGGTAAAATTCAAAATATCAAAAAAGCGAAAATTCTAGTGACATGTTTAAGAAGTTGGTTTAGCAAGAGTAGACTTAAATTGCCTGCAGTTCTGAATGGTAGTGTACATTTGTGAACCTATTATGGAACTTCCCTTGAAGACCGTTGTCTCCTGTGCAGGTCAACACCTCCTTTCCGGAATTATAGAATAATGCATATATACAAGTGGGACCTACCACATGCGATTGGAGTGTGCTGCACTCCTGCTCAGGTTTGCAGCTGCTCCATTTCATTCTCCCTCTCATTTCCAGATTTTTGTGTCCCCGCCACCACCCACCACTCACAATCAGTCACTCCATGCTCACTGCATATGCCCAGTCCTTAATAAGTTATTTGGCAGAGAGTAACACCCCATTAGGTCTTTCTCCGAAGTGTTTTTGCACTTCTGCAAACCTCTGCATAATCCAAGGACCACTGATAACCCCTGCTGGTATGTGGATTGGGCCATTTAGGCTACATAAATGGGGCACTTGGAGCATGAGGTTGTCAATAGAATATATGATGTAATTTAGAGGCAGGAGGACATTCTTGGACCTTTGGGGATGACTTCTTTAGGGGCATCTTACTATTTAATTTCATAACTTAGGAGGCGACCTGTGACTTTCAGGCGCCCCCTCTCCATTCAGAGAGAGACGGCGTTTGTGCCCCTCTTGGTCCTTGCAGAAGCTGGCTCCACTGAAGTGGCTTCTGTGCTAGAACGTACTCATGTGTAGCTATGTGGTAATTTCTGTCCCTTACCCATAATTTTCCTCTAGTGGAAGCAAGCAGTTTTCCCTTTCTACTGTTCATAATGTTTGTTGTTCTTCTCCCTCTTTTTGTGTGTTTCACAGTTTTGTATAGCTTAGGCATAGTAGCCCTTTTCCCCTTTGTTTTCCCCATTTAGTCTGAGTTTGATAGTTTGAATTCTGATCTTCGCAGTCTGGTCTTTGAAGTTAAGAGTTTCTCCCTGGTGGAGCAGGCATGCCACCTACCAAGTTTCCCTGAAAATAAGACCTATCCCGAAAATAAGACCTAATACTATTTTTCGTACTTGCTAAAATATAAGACCTACCCTGAAAATAAGACCTAGCTGTGTTTATTCCCAGGGCCAGTGGGGAACATAAAGAGCCTTTTTAAACTTTATTTTTTAACTTAACTTAATGCACTGTGTGGAGAAAACATGCTTACGCAGCTCTGCTCCCTCCGCATAAGCCGATGCTTCCTCTATAGTGCCGACTCCTGTCACAGGCGGAGTGATACCAAATGTACATGTATTCATGCTGCTGTACATGAACAAGTATGGATTGTTGTACACATTTAAAAATAAAACAAAAAAATAAATAAGACCTACCCCAAAAATAAGACCTAGTGTGTTTTTGTGAGCCAAAAAAGGTAAAAGACAGTGTCTTATTTTTGGGGAAACATGGTATCTAGATGGGAGGGGAAATCTCTGAAAGATCGGGAATGTTCCCTTGCTTCTCCATAAAACAGGATTTTTTTTTTTTGGTAAGAAATTTCATTTTTACCTCTTAAATTTATTTGCCTTTTTTCATATATTGACTATCTGACAATATATTTGCATTTCTATACTGGTTATGCCTGTTGCCAATGCAAATTATAATTATTGATGCCATTGGTTAATTGGACTATTAAAATGAATAAAAATCCATATATTCAAGAGTACTTAAAGCATTAATAAATGTTCACTTTGTTCCAAATAGGTTTAATGCTTTAGTGATGCTTCAAAGGCAAACCAAATTATTGCTTCAGGCCTCTGAGGATGCCGACATCTTCAGTGACAGTGATCAGGGACATCCCTTTTGCTTTTGGCTTCCAGGTTTCTTTTTTCCACATGGTACATAATTTCACAAGCAAATATTTCTCTATTGCCCTGTTTTTAATGTTCCCTAATGTGCCTTATCTTGCTTGAAATAGTTGATGATGTTTCTACCGTGATATTTATAATCTTCTTGTGCTAATTATTGGAGGTGAACAAGAATGTTTGGAGAGTTCCTGTTGCCTAAAATATATTATAGGAAGCATATTGTGCTCAAGCAATCTGGTCTAAGCATTCTGTCTATCTAGATTTTAGCAAAATCTATCTAGACTTTAGCAAAGCCTTTGATAAAGTGCCTCATGACATTCTGATTGCCAAACTAGGAAAAAGTGGGCTAGATAGCGCCATCATTAGGTGAATCCGCAATTGGCTGCAAAACTGGTTTCACGGTAGCACATTTTCAACCTGGGGAGGGACAAGTAAGGTGCTGCAGGGTTCTCTCCTGGGACCTGTACACTTCAACTTCTGTGTTAATGATTTAGATGAATAAGTACAAGGAAAGTTAATTAACTTTGCAGATGACACAAAGCTCAGTGGAATAGCAAATACATGGAAGACAGAGATAAGATACAGGGTGATTTGATAAATACCAGTTTAAAATTCAGGCGGGACAAGTGCCATGTCCTCCACTTAGGAACAAGAAACCAAATGCATCTCTATAAAATGGGGGAGTCTTGGCTCAACAATACTGCAAATGAGAAGGATTTTGGAGTTATTGCAGATCACAAGCTAAATATTAGCCAGCAATGTGATACAGCTACAGAACAGGCAAGCACTATTTTGGGCTTGCATTAACAAAGGAATCACTTCCAAAACACGTGAAGTATTCATTCGCCTATACTCAGCACTAGTCAAACCTCACCTAGAGTACTGTATCCAGTTCTGGGAACCTAAGTTTTAAAAAGATGCAGAAAACCTAGAAAAGGTACAAAGGAGGACAACAAAACTGATTCAGGGCTGGAGGCAAGGACCTGTGAGGATTGAGAGTACTGGGCATGTTTAGCCTCGAGAAGACTGAGGGGTGATATGGTAGCATGCTAAAAGTACCTAAAAGGCTGTCACAAAGAGGAAGGACAAGATCTCTTCTTGTTCATTCAAGAGTGTAGGACATGGAATAACGTAGTTAAATTAAAGGAAACCAGTTTTAGAGTAGACACCAGGAAGAATTTCCTCACTGTCAGAGTGAGGAAATGGAACCTACATATTACCTAGGGAAGTTGTGGGTTCTTCCTCACTAGAGACATCCAAAAAGTGTCTGGACAGTCATCTGAGTGGGATGGTGTAACTTAGTGTCCTGCAACAGCAGGAGGTTGGACCTGAGGGTCTTCTGGCTCCTTCCACTCTATTATTCTGTGTAGGTGATTGTATCCATGCTGGTTGTCCCACTGACAGCAGCACCCTCCCATTCCACTGGTAGATATCTTTTCCATCAGCAGAGTAGTTCCCACTGGATAGAAGCTAATGCCATTACCCTAGCCCATCCTTCAAAAGATGATCATTTCAAAAAAGTCAAGAGTTTCAAAATTGGGCAATGAAGCAGAGAACAGCTTTAGGAGCCTGGAATTTGGAGTGGAGGAGCTTGGAATGGCCTAATTAACCTTTTCTGTTCTAATTTTATGCACACACACAGAACTTTTCTTTCCGAGTCCAAACCGTGTGTGTTTGTGTGTGGCGCCAGCAGTCAGCCCCTGAGTCAAAGGTCTGTGACACCCTTGCTCTTCTTAGATCCCCTGAACTGGAAGTCCTGTGGCTGAACCCACACGGTGTTAAGACTGTATGAAATGCATGTGTACATAATATGTAGCAAGTCCACATTTTCTGAGCCACTGGCCCTGACTCACTTAGGCTCATGTTTCTTAGTTCATATGTGCATGAAAAGGGTTGTAAAAGTCACGAGCTGTGCAGCTATCGTCTCTCTCAGTGCTTCAAGTACCTATGTCAAGAATCTGTAGGTGCACAGAGTGAGGGAGACCTTGTATGTTTTTATAATTCTCTATTTTAATTTGATAGTGACCCTGATTGCAAAGGATGCCAAACATCGAAATTGTAACACTTTTCTTCCTTGCAGGGGTTAAACTGATGCCCGTGCAACTAAGACCAAATCTAACTTGGTCCGGGAGCCCTCCGTGAAGGACATTAGGAGGGTGAGCACCCGGAGGAGGGCTTTCTCTGCGGTGGCGCCCAACCTATGGAATGCGCTCCCCAGAGAGGTCTGCCTGGTGCCATCATTATTTGCTTTTCAGTGCCAGGCCAAGACCTTTTTATTTAAACATCATTTTAATTGTTGATTTTATTTATTGATTTTAACAACTTTGGCCAGGATGTCTCCAACTGTATTTTATTGCACCAGTGATATTTATTTATTTGTAAGCTGCCCTGAGGCTTAGGCGAATGGGGCGGCATATAAGCCTGCTAAATAAATAAATAAATAACTTCAGTTCTCAGGATTTATGCCTAGAAAGCTGCAGCTTTCAGCTGTAGCACATCTATCAGGATGTTATTTCCCACAACTCTTTTACTACTTCACTGAGGCATGTGTTCCATTCCTGCAGGGTTTCTTACTGCTGTTCTTCAGAATTACGCGAGGCAGAAAAAAATTCCAGTGGATTCCCTTTATTTTGTCCACCAAGTTGTTCAGGCTGAAGATCAAGAAGTTAGAACTTTCAAGCAAAAAGATAGCATATTAAGCAAAGCTTTTAAAGTAAGAGCACAAGAAGAGGTACAGCATAAAAAGTTTTGTGTTGGAAGACCGCGGTTCAAATAAATTTTCCACCATATACTTATACTGCAGAACACTTTTGCATAGCTTTCCTTTCACATCCTCTCACAATGAGAATAGCAATACTGGCCTTCTATACAGGGCAAGTGCTATGTAAATAATACAGTTGAAAAGTGCCTGGGACACATTTGTGAAACTACATAGAGAGGAAAAACATCTTGGTATGGGGGAGGCACTGCAGGGAGAAAGCTGTGGACAGGAAAGCATCTCCTGCTGCTTTCCCAGTGTGAACAACTTCTTTCTGAAGTGGATTTGCTTAGCAGTGTCATCAGACTTGTTTTGAAATCGCATATAATGACATAAATACCCACTTTCAAGTGGAGGCAGGCAGAGAGTGGAGGGGAGGAGGCGGGCTCAGCTCCTTAGGCTTCTCCTCTGTTCCAGGAAGGCAGTCTATAATGTTCATTTTCTGAGGGGACTGAATTCCCAGATGACTTCCTGCCTTTGTTGTGGACAGGAAGATCCCTGCAGATACTTAGTGTTTCATATAAGCCTCTCCCGCAGAGGAGGAAAGAACTCAAGGATTGGGAGTGGGGCAGGGAGAGGATGTTAGGTGTTGAGATAGCCTTGGCAAAATGCTCTATTTTTATCCCCCGCACCCCATCACACACTGGTCGATGACTGATGACTGGTAACTGTTCTCCTCTGTTGCACCACACATTAATGGGCTTTGCCCCCTCATGGAGACAGGTGTCAGGAAGATTTAATAGCTATTAAATTTAATTTTAATAGCAAAATTTATTTTAAATAGTTATTAACTTAATTAGAACAGTGTGTCCCACCCTAAACTGCTTATAAGTTTACATGGTTTTGAAGAATGTGGTTGAACTAATAATCTCTATGTGCCTATGTGGAAAGGTTCATAAAAAACATCATATAGCATTTATTTAGCATGTTGGGGTTTTTTTTAGGAACCTTCTCAACATAAATCTGGAGTTAGAATTTTTGGCTTATACATAGATGGTGCTTCTTGGAATCTTAATACTGCTACACTGGAAGAACCTGAACATCATAAGAGATTTTATGCACTACCAGACATCCTTTTTTTGCCAGAAATGGTGAGTTTAATATAATTTTTATTCCACATTGCAAGATCTCAGGGTGAAAATAATTTCTGCAAGCTTTTAATAGCTGCATGTTGATTTTAAATATGAAATGAAAAAAATAGGTTTTTGTATATTACTGCTCTGGGTGCCCTATTTTTTCTTCTTACTCAGATCTATTAGAGGGTTGTAAAGCATATTGACTCCTCATGAATTGGCTAATAGTATAGTAATAACATTAACAAAGCTGCATTAAATGGAAATGGTGAAATGTGTATTTTTTGAATGCTGAAGCTATTAGGAGAAATTTTACATTGCAGTCTTTACTCATTTACTCAGAAGCAAGTCCAACTGAGTTCAGTGGGACTTATTTCCAGTGTAGCTTTAACACTGAATTCAAGGGTGGGGCCTGTGTTTCCCTATCCCCTAGAGCAGTGATTCCTGAAGTGGGCAGTACAAGCCCCTGGAGGCAGTGGAAAGATCCAGGAGGGTGATGACTGGCTGTTTTAAATTTGCAGTAGAGTAATAGACCTAATATAAAGAAAGAGGCGTGAGAGCCTTAGGGGAAAGGGAGCAGCAGCCCAGAAGTTTGGGAGCACTGCCCTTGACATTTTAACCATACTCATGCACAGGTGAGTACTTGCATATAGCTTATACTTATGCATAAAGCAAGTGGGATATGGAACAAAATATTGAAGGCTAATGTGTGCCTATTCAAAGTTCTATTCAAGAACTCCAGGATGTTCAACTTCTCTGCAATTCAATATTCTCATTCTTGAATATGTCCAGTTGTCTTTAGGCTGTTTTGCATGGTTACCATTCTAATGGCTGTTAATGTTTCACCAAGTTACTTGTTTCTTGTGCTGCTTTCTGATATGATTACCTTTTTGGTTGTATATCAGCATTCAAGCCCAAATATCTGATACTGATGATTTCTCTTAGGAAACACATGTATTTATTGATAATTACTTATAGCCTATCTTTCCAGTAAGAAACTGGGTATTCAAAGTGGCTATTAATGATATAAATTATAAGTACGCTTAGCTAAAACAAGTCATTAAAATGTTGCAAACATAAAAAATAGTTGAATCAGCACCCATTCACATTAACAGCCACCTGCTTGAATGAAGTTATCTTTCCTGCCACCTCGGGATGGTCTGCTGTTGTAAACTGTTTCATGAATGTTTTGTGGACTGTCAGGCAACTTTTGTTCCCTTGTCTGTTCACTGATGAAATAGGATTTGGGGAAAATGTGTTAATATACTCTTGAACAAATTCAGTATCACAAAAATTGGCATGCATGAACATAGGCAGTTTCCCCCACCCCCAAAACTCAAATCACCACTATTTTCACACTAGCCTATGAAAGAAAAGCACATTTTTATATTAGATGACTAAATTTACATAAAATTGTGGTTTTTTGTGATTCATAAGTCTTAGGAATCTATGTGATTCAGTCCACTGCAAAGTGCACAGATCATATGCTTAGAAATTCAAAATACAGGAAGTCCCCTACATACAAATGGATTCCATTCTGAGAGTGCATTCATACGTCTAATTTGTTCATAAGTCCAACAAAGTTAGCCTAGTTATCCAACTAACAAAGGGAAGGTTGCAAAGTAGGAGCAACCTCTATGGCACCTCAGACTATCAGGTAGGGTTTCTCAGAAAAGTCAGCCCTGGTATTTTGTCAAGTGATATTTGCATTCCACTGAATTCATAATCACAGTCTGGACACACCACACACAATTAAGTAGCCAGAGCTTTGCACTTTGGCTTTAAGAATCAGGTGTGAATGATCAGAGTAATCTGGGGATCAAGGAAACATCCCATCCACATTGTCTTCCTGGTTCATTTGTCCTGACCTTTTGGGAGCAGCTTGCTAAAAGAAAGGAGCTCTTTTAGCACTGCCATCTGCTCTCCATTCAGAAGTTTCTAGTGACCATGAAGTTGTTTATACAGCAAAGCCCACCACTAAGCCAGGCCTGTTCATTTTTCATGGAGAAATAGTAACCTCCAACTCCCATTTCATGAAGGGGAAAAACTGATCTCGACTCTTGGATCTTCAGAACATGCTTTTTCTGTGTGGGGAGACGCACCCAATTCTCTGAGAGACATGGCTCGATTTTCGGGTGAGGAGAGGTAAATTAAGATTTAACAAGAAAAAAATGACTTAGGTGATTGGATCTGTGAATGCCCATTTGCATCTCTGAAAGTTCACAACTTGAAGGTTTCCTATGTAGGGAACTTCCTGTAACTTGAGTCTATTGTAGATTTTTTCTAACATTGTTCCTGCCACTATGTTACTATAGTGCTGGTAACATTTAAAAATGGCTACCTAGGAGCTTGACAGTACCAGCACAGTAGTGTCCTGTATGGCATTTTCAGGGAAGTCCATTTCCATCCATGCAGCTGATCTGGATCCAACCCTCCACTGAAGCTATAATTTACTGTGTCCAATAGGTTTTGAGAATGTCTTGAAACTGATGGGCAAACAAACTGCCCCACCACCATGGAGATATCTGATATGGTGGCAGTGAAATGATGCCTTCACTTACTCCCTAGAATAGGAAACTGGCTCTGATTTTCTATAACTGCCTGTAGCATGTTGGTTGCAGATGGATACTATTGTATGCTATGCTTCTCTTGATTGCTCCTCTAACATATTTCAGGGTCCTGCTCTCACATAAGCTATAGTAAGCGATATAATAAATGATAATTAAATTTAAATTTAATTAAAATTAAAATGATAATTAAATCATAGTAAGTGATTTAATTGCACTTCTTTTTTTTAAGACTGATCTCTTCTCAAGACCCTCTAATCTAGAGGAGGAAGCCGGCTTACTATTTTATAAATGTCCACTGTATAGAACACCCCAAAGATCTGGAATACTGTCCTCTACAGGTATATCTACTAACTTTATAACAGCAGTGCGTCTACCAACTCTGACAGTGCCCAGTCACTGGATAACAAGAGGAGTTGCACTGTTGTGTCAACTGGATGACTGAGAAATTAGAAGAAACTTTAACCTCTGAAAGTGAGGGGTCCTTTTTGAATTACTTCAATGGCTGTAATAGTTTTCTGTTTAAGAATAAACTGTATCATCACAAGAAATGTATAAACTCAGTCTTATATTGCAATCTTCCTTCTGCTTGTTATTTACACAAACATTTCAGCTTAAATGTACTGTACTGTCCACAGGTGTGTGGACTGATCACACAGTCAATTTGTCAGATATAGTAGCTTTGTCAGATATAGTAAACATTTTTAATACTCACTAGTCTAGCATAGTTCCTAACCCTGCCTGATCTTATACTTCTGTAGTGCTTCACTTTGAAAGTGCTTTGCCTGGACCACATTCAGCTTGATTACACCTATGCAGCCTCAATTGTTCTACCATTTCAGCTACCACAGCAGATGAATCCACAAGTAAAGTTGTTCCAGCCAATCTCTAGGCTGTTAATGCAGATAGGTTACCTGCACAACTTGCCCCACTTAGAGAACTATTGCGAAGGCCTTCCTTGCCATCTAGAAAAAAGGACACAATTGCAGACAAGTTTTTAATTTTATTTTATTTTTCGCTCCAATCAGGGCTAAACAAGAGTCTGAGCATCACTACTTTTGTACTATGCTGCATCTCTGGACAGCATCTTAAGTCATCACTCATCTACAAATGGTTTCAAAACTGAGTTGTACTGATTAACTACCACCGCCACCTACCCAGCCAACCAGTTCATCAATTTCAGTAACTTTAACTAGGTCCTCGCTACTTTCATGGAACCATTCTAAACCCCATGGCTAAATGTTCATTGGAAATACTTACACTTAAGACTGTAAGTAGAACATTGCTATATTGGATATGGAGGCCCTGTTGGCATATGTTCTACACATAAAGTTGTCAGATCTGTTTCTTCTTTACCCTGAAGATCCAATCCCCTTTTACCAGTTACAAACAACTTAGGTCCTTACAACTAAGATTTTCTTAATCTTCTATCCTGTGCCAGTTCACCACAAAGAACAGCACAAGCTAGATGTTTACAGGATGCTACAATTCAAATGGGATCAGACAGCAGACTCCAGAAAATCACTAATTAAATGATCTTAGCTGCTTGAGGGACTGATTTCTGATGGCAGTATATTCCAACTAATGTAACAATGCTTAGGAAAGCAGCCTCCCAGAGATATTCCAGCCTGTACAGTTAAGGGGACAAACTGCATCAAGAGTTCTTAAATTAAGTTTTGCAATCTGATTAACATAGATCATGTATCCTGGTCCGTATTTTCGCAAAATATAACTTTTTCTGTGAAACTAGTGGAGAATTTTACCCATTTCTTTCTGGTCTAGCAAGTAATAGTTAGTGGTTTATGCCTACCTACACCATAGTCAACAGGACACCCCAAGCTTCCACCCATGGTCTTACTCTTACCTTTCATCTGTCAAAAGTTTACTAAGGTTTATATTTTAATGTCTACTGGCACCATTTGCATTATATATCTCCATTTGGATGGTATGGGCTGTCTTTGGTCTTCTAACAGTCCTTTCTCTATGGAGAAACAATGCAGATAAACTCTGAATCTATTCCAGGGTGAGATACAATCCTGAAGCTGACAAATGCCTCCCTGCAGTCTCAAAGAAAAGAAATTCAAAGTATATAAAGCTTTCTTTACCGCAGGTCCCATGGATTTTATTGGTACGTTAGGGAGACTCTACTTTCAAAGTAAAGGAGAGATCCTATGTTCCTTTAGAGATGGGAATGGAGGCAGAAATCCAAGAATTCTGTTATTCTGCACAGAAGTTAATCACTATCTGCACAGAAGTTAAGAGCTACACATCTTAAGAACTTAACCTACTCCTGGATACAGATGCATTCTCTCCCAGACAGTAGCAAGTATTCATCCAGAAAACCAACACAGAAGTTCCTCTTACAGAGGGATACACACAGCACTGCTATATATAATTGGTTTGCACAAAACCATTTTTGGACAAAGCTTCAGTTTTACAAATTTATTTTTATGAAGTAAAATCTAAAGAGTACATTCTAGATATAAAAAGTAACACATGACAAAATGCAGTTTATATTAGTCAGGAACTACGTTCCTGAGGGAACATACTTATGTAAAAAGAAAAGCCCTTTTTCCTTTAGAAGGTTTTATTAGAATTATAGTGGTGAAATGGTTATGTGGCAGAACATTCTCTTTGCATAACTAGTTTCATGAATATGTTGAAGCACTGTTCTGCATGTTAACGCCTGCTGCCCTCTAGTTCCTTTGGGCTACAGGTCCCATTAGCTAGCTTGGCTAATAATTAGACACCTTGGAAGTTGCAGTCTAACACATCTGGAGGGCACCAGGTACAGAAAAGTATAATGCAGACTAAAGAAAGTTGTCATGATCATTTCTGAATCAAGTAAACCACATGTACACACATACTATCAAATATTTCAAACCTGTACAAAAATACTTTTGTACATCAGTAACTAAAATGGCTCATATAAAAATACAGGGCACAACAGGAATTATTACCTGCTTCCAACTCACCTGCAATGAGCATGGTACTCCAACAGGCTATTTCCCACAAGGGTACATGCATGTTCAAAAGAAGCAGGGTGAGAGGGTCAACTGGGCTTTGTTATGTTCTGTGGTTATCCCTCCCTCATAGTTGTGCTCCATAGTATTTTAGAAACACTTAAACTATATTAAAACTGAAATCAAATCTTATCAAGAACAGTGCTACAAATATAAATGCAAAACAGAGATACTCAAATTAAAAATGTCTGTTATTAAATGGACATTTTCCATCAGCTATAAAAATTGCATAAATTCAACCTGCAAAACAATTATTTCAATGCATCTGCCTTACAATTTCATATATTAAAACAGCAATTGTTCCACTTTAAAATCATAGCTGATTCTGTAAAAACTATTGCAATAAAATTCATAAGATGTTAAAACTATGAAAAGCTTAAAACACTATAGCTATAGTGAATAGCTATGAAAAGCTCAAATATACAAAACTACATTAGTTCAAAAGTAGTTTACTAATCACAAATTTATGTTAAAAAGCTGCTTTAAATAGCAATTTGAAATATTAGCATTCTTCCTATTTGCAACAGTATAAAAAAGGCAAAAAACCTACATTGAGGTAGTGATGCCAATTCACAAAACTCTGAATAAATTTTCTATTTTCATAATGCATTTGTCATTACAATATTTAAATGAGCACTTCAATTTGCTGAACTCCATTTCATAGCATACATTACTTTACAAAACTTTTCAAAAAATACTGAAAATGGTTTTAGTAACAAAAAAAATCAAATCCTAGAAATACCATTTCATTTTACACTCAAAACACTGTACAAAAATCTGTTATAATATAAAGAAAAGCTATAATACAAAGCAACGGTTTATCAGAGCTGAAGAAAGTTAGCTGTGGCTATTTTTTCAGAGTTTGCACTCTCTTCTGTCACTGAATATTGTTATTTGCCACTTGCATTTCTTGAGGACTAAGACAGAGAGCTGCATGGGACCTTTGTTAAATCTCCTTACATTATAGCACAGTGGTTAAATAGATAGTTACCATCCTACTAGCTTAAAATGGGAGCCTCTTCTATCAAATAGGAAAGGGGCAGGGAAGGGACACCTTGTACTGGCTCTCCTGAAAGCTCAAGCTTTTTCTACCAACATCATTAATGAAATCAGTCTGAGGAAATTAGTTACAGAAAACAGACCTGAGTGAGAACAACCCTGATTAGGGGGCTGTAGCATGGCTGAAATCACACTCTACTGAAACTGGTGACATAACTATTTACATGCTGCTTTTTTAAACCAAAGATCCTCAAAGTAGCCTACAAAAGACTAAACTACTAGATAAAATTACAATGCAAGCAAATCTTGGGTATTAAAATCTACAACTGGACCTTCTTTCCTACCATCCATAGCAGATAGTAAAATGATCTATTCTGCACCAGTTAAAAAAAACCATACAGTTCTTGACAAGCTTCATGCACTACACAATTTTTAATTGCATCCTAATTGAATTCTTTAAATTAAATGTGATGATGGTTAAAATATATAGAAAAGATTGCATCTAGTAGATCATTGGCAAAGGTATCTGCTAGTTTACTCTCTGTAAACCTAAGCAAATCTAGCAGAATTAACATATATACCAAGAGCAATGGTATGAGGTATGTTGTTTACAACAAAGAAGTTTTAACTGCAGAAGCTGTGTGTCATTCACCACTCTGAAAAGGCTCAGTAGATGTATGGAAATATACGATATGGCACACGTTGACAATATTTTTCCCATGCTATGCCATATTTTTTCTTACATTGACGTTCATCACGGGCTTCTCGATGAATAAGCAAACCAATAAAATATATGACATAGAAATATGGCAAAATGTGATTGAACCCTGTAAAAAGAAAGAAAACACATTTTTTTTCTCATTCTATAAGAATGGGTCACTAATAAAAAGTATATCTACCTACACGAAAAGGTGTCTGATGAGAAACAGACATTAAGGTAAGTTATGCGTTGGGACTTTTGAAAGATTTAAGTTTGAATCACTTGATATTGTGCATTTATCCAAACATTTTCTTCTCTTTCTGTAAACCCTTAGTTTATGTAACAAATGGGAGATACTCATTTTTCCCATCTCCAAAGAATCCAAAATAACATACTTACAGTCTTATCTCTTAGAATTTTTTTTCGGGGATGCAAATTTTGTCAATAGGAATTTCTTCTACAGTTCACTACACGTTCATCCTAACCTCAGTTTTAATTATGAACAGTCCCCCTATTACTACATAGTTTGGAAAATCAGGACAAGCAGAAAATACAAGATTCCAATAGTCAATACTTTATGACCTTACCACAGGGTAGGGACCAAGCCAAAGCCATGATGATATCCCCTAAATAGTTAGGATGACGCACTAAGCCCCACCAGCCGGAGGCCAGGAGTTTTTTTCCTGTTGCAGTAGGAATAACTTTCAAATCTGTATCAAAGTA